GCATCTGCAACAAATTGCAGGTGGTAAATTTTACATGTTAATGGTTAAAACTTTACTATTTCTTACTGCATTCAAACAGTGCATTTTCAGCTAATTTTGTGAGTCCACTACTGGCTTTGCATGGTGAATGATTTCTTCATAAAACCAGCACTTGAACAAACCAACTATATATACCTCAGAAGAGATTAACTTTACTGAACATTTTTCGAACCAATTTTCCATACTGATTTTTAAACTTTTTTATTCTGTAATTAATTATCCAAGGTCAAACAGCTCATTTGAAAGTGGAGCCTTATGTGCTCAGGTGATTTAGCTGCCATCTATAAATGGAAACAGTGGTTATTATCAACATCTACATGTTTTTGCATAGTATCAGGGCACTTTCAAGTGCTCTTAGCAGTGTATCATATATCATCATCACTTTCTCATCTCATATATTATATCAGTCTGGAGACAGGGTTGGCTACTTAGAGACTTGGAGCTCACTTTACTTGCTGGTGATGTTGATATAGCAACATGGAGGGCAAAAATAGGTACCTTTATTAGGATCAAATTTAGATCTAGAACTAATACAAGTACACATTCCAGCTTATATCTGCAACTTTTAACTCTTTCCATATGCTGTCAGTTTTTAAAATGTATACCATTACTATTTTCTTTGCTCTGTGCTGCTGATGGAGACGTTATGTCACAGCTTTATGTTCTCTATGACGAGCTTAACATTAATATTATGGACATGTGCTGGGCTACAGGTGCAGCTATTAACATTGTGATTGTGATGTTGCTGTTAAATTCTATTTTTAAACAAGCATCAGGATGTTTTAAAAAAAACATTAACTCGGTTAAATTATTTAGGGTGCTAGGATGTATCATTGCAGCTTTAATAATACCTGGCATTGGATTTTATTATTGTATCTGCATTGACTATTTGCTCATGGTAATAAGGCTTGCAAATGATATTGAAACTCATCCTGGGCCATTTTTACCTGATGAATCAACAAAAATTTTATCTTTAAATATTAATAGCATCACCGCACACCAAGGAACATGTTTTGTCGAGTTAAAGCATGTGGTAGAGAGACTGAACTGTGATGTGGTCTGCATCTGTGAGGCAGGAAAATCTGTCAACATTGATAAATATCAGATTAAACATTTTCATGAGCCAATATATCCAGTTATTCCTGAGCATGGAAGGGGTATTATTATTTATATAAAAAGTAATATTGCATATAATCTTAGACATGACCTCTCAAATCAAAATGAAATTGTGTGGGTTGAGTTAGTAATAAATCATCAACATATTTTACTTGGCGCATGTTATAAATCTCCCTCACTGGTATCAAGAGAGGAAATACAGTCATTTAACAGCAGATTAAAATCACAACTAGAAAAAATCAGAGGGGAAGACCGGTATGACATAGTACTCTTAAATGGAGATTTTAATGCTAAATGTAAACTTTTTTATGATCAAGATCAGGATACTCCCTCAGGTACAGCACTTTTTGACACAATGAGTGATTTTGCATTTAGTGAGCTCATTCATGAACCAACTAGAATAACTCCAAAGTGCAAGTCTTGTCTTGATTTAGTTTTCACTGATGCTCCTGGTAAAATCCTGCATAGTGAAGTGTTACCACCTATAGGAGGCAGTGACCATTCTTCTGTTTTGACCAGTTTGGACATAATCAAGGAAAATACCAAAAAAACTAGTATTAAAAAGGTTTGGCAGTATAAAAATTGTAACATACAGAGGCTAAATCAAAATATTTCTGCTTTTGATTGGGATAATTTAATCTACTCTGGGGACATTAATTCTGCAACTCAAAAATTTACTGATACATTATTTAGCATATTTAATGCTTTCATACCATGCAAAGAAAAACGAATAAAGTCAAACGACATGCCTTGGTTTAATTCAGATATAAAAAGGGCAATAAATAAACGTGACAAGTTATATAAAAAATTTAAAGTCTCAAATGATAAAAAACATATGGATGAACTTTCAGAGCAGACAAATAGAGTGCGAAATTTGATAGATAATGCAAAGACTACTTATGATAATGATGTATGCAATAGTCTCCAAGCTCAGGAAAAAACTGATAAATTCTATTGGCAAACAATTAAACAACTTTTAGGGAAGCGATTTGTACCTGAGATACCTGCTCTTTTTTCAAATAATTTGATGAATGTTGCTAAGACGGATGAGCAAAAAGCTAAGTGTTTTCAATCACATTTCTTAGAAAAATTTCACCATGATTTAAATTTCCAACAAAATGATTTACCTGAGTTTCCAGCAAGATCTGAAATACAACTCAATACATTAAACACAGACAGGGAAGAGGTCTGTGAATTTTTAAGACAACTTGATATTTCAAAAGCAGAGGGTCCAGATGGTATTACAAACAAAATGTTAAATCTTGCGGCTGACTCAGTTGATGCCCCAATTTCTAAATTATTTAATCGCATTTTTAACGAGAACATATTTCCAAAACCGTGGAAAGATGGTGTTATCATACCAATTTTCAAAAACAAAGGAGCTAAGACGGATTCTTTAAATTACAGACCAATTACTCTTTTAAATACTATGGGCAAACTATGTGAGCGAATAATACATCAGAAAATGCTTAAACACTTAATAGAAAATCAATTACTCTTTAAAAACCAATCTGGATTTCTGCCAGGGCATAGTGTTGAATACCAACTTTTAAGTATAACAAATTATATAATGACATCTTTTGAAAGTAACAAAGACGTTAGAACTCTATTTTTAGATATAGAATCTGCGTTTGACAAAATTCCACACGAGCTACTTCTTCATAAAATAAAATCATATGGTTTCGGTGAAAATATCATTAAACTTTTTTCTTCATACTTAAGTGAACGTAGAGTACGAACAAAAGTAAACTCAGATTTCTCTATCTGGTCTCAAATAGGATACATAAACTCTGGAGTTCCTCAGGGATCCATTCTTGGACCGATTTTCTTTCTAATGTACATAAATGACCTTCCAGATATTCTAGACTCCACATGTTTCATTTATGCTGATGACACTTCGATTTATGCTCAAGTGTCCTATAATGATAATACTACACTCTCTCACAATATACTCCAGTCTGATCTAAATAAAATACATTTGTGGTCAAATAAATGGAAAATGAAATTTAAGCCTAGTAAAACGAGAGAGGTAATCTTTAAAAAGCCAAGAGCAAAGTTAAGAAATTACCAACCTCTTTTCTTAAATAATGACCAAATTCAGAGAGTCCATAGTCACAAACACCTGGGAATCATTCTTGATGAACATCTAAATTTTGAGGAACACATCAATGCCATTGTTTTGAAAACTAGCAAAATGCTCAATCCACTTCTGTTTCTAAAGTCAAAAATTTCATCAAAGCACTTGGAGACAATGTATACATCATTTATCCTTCCTCATTTAGAACAAGGCTCAACTTTTATTGACTCCTCCTCAAGAGTCCATATTGAAAAGCTCAATAGAATTCACTATCGTGCTACGCTTATAGTTTCAGGTGCTATCACCGGATCAAATTTTGACAAAGTTTTACAAGCCTTGGGATGGAAATCCTTACTTGAGCGTAGACAGGAAAAGAAGGCAATATTAATGTTCAAAGTCAACAGAGAAATGGTCCCCACCTATGTTCAAGATATATACACACCTCTTATAAACCCAGCTTATAGACCAGGACTAAGAACTCAACGTCAATATATAATCCCAGCCTCTGCATCATCAAAATTCCTAAATTCGCCTGCAATATCTCCTATTAAAATATGGATACCTATCCCAGTGCAAATCAAAAACAAAGAAACTAAGTCACAGTTCAAAAGATCATATGCAAATCACTTTTTCAAAAAGACTAAAATGATCTCTGCTTTGACACCCCATTTAAATATCCAGAGACCTTTGGAAATAAAACTAAATCGAATGAGATGTGACCTGTCTTTGCGCTCTGATTTTTTCCGGCACAACTTTGTAAATTACCAAGATCCAAGTTGTCCATGTGGGTTTCGAAACCAGACAAAGGTACACTATTTGCTTGATTGCCCTCTTACACATGATGCAAGACAAACATTTCTCCTAAGTCTCTCCCAGCAAGCTGACCCTGACCTCAAACTTTTCTCCAGTAAACGTAAATATGACAAGGTTGATATGATTTTATTTGGTGATAAAGAACTATCACCAAAGCTTAACTCCACACTTATAAATCTATCATCAGATTTTATTAATAAAATATTGTGAAGTGCCATAGCTACTGTACCTTGCCAAATTTCATATCATCATCACTCATCTTCATCCCATCTGAACACTGCATTTATGTAAATTATGACACTACTATTGTATGTGTAAATATCCGCTGTATAAAATGTATTTTCACAAGCCAATAATGTGCAAACGTAGGCTTGTTTCTCCATATTCATGTATTATTGTATTATTGTATGTTTATATATGTCTTAAATATGGAAATAAAATAACCTTAAAAAAAAAAAAAATAAAAAAATAGTCAAGACGTCTTAGCGTTAAAACGTTTTACAAGCGAGTGTAAATCCATCGGTTTTAGCTAAGAGCTATTATCCCGGTTTTTTGCGTTGCGCCGAACGAAACATTTGAAACTTTCCACTTACATTTGTCGCATGGTCCTTTATTTTGTCTTATCCCTTGTTCCCAATATCATCCCAAAATTATTAAGAACTTATTTGCCTGGCGATTTATCATAATCCTAATTATGAATAAAATCTTCCTGCTCTCTTTCATGCTTTTAACAATGCTGTCTTTAGGACATATTTTTCTGAAACCGATGCATTCATAGGTACAAAGTCGGGTACAAAGTATAGAAGCGGGAAAGGAATAGCTATATTGACTGAACCGCCCTTCAATCAGTACTGAACTGCTTTTTTCATTTTACATGTATACCTACATATCTCTAAGACATTTTAGGAAAACAGGTGTAAACTCAATTTATTTCCTAAGACGTCTTGAAAATGGTATATTATAAATGCAAAATAGTACTTCATCATCATAATAGTTGTATTACAACATCAAAATTAACTAGGAAATGGTTTTGGAGTACTCTTAGCTGTAAGCTGTCATTTTTTTCCAGAAGCTACCAATTTAAAATAGACGAGACTGTGCTATGGTGACCTTCGGCTCACCCAGAAGTGTTTTTTTTCACCAAAATTGGCTACTCTTAATGACTCATGGCGATTCACTGGGTCCTAAGGAACATTTTAAAACATATTTCATTGATGTACTCGAGATGTCATTTAAACGCCTATGTAGTGCCACCTATAGGTTGCTCAGAAATGGATTTGTCACCATAAGGGGCGCTTAAATCAATTTTTGGGGCGTTTTGAAGAGCGTGGTGTCACCAAATCTATCACTTAAGAGTTGCCTTTTTGGGGAAGTCAGTCACATATCTACTAATTACAGGCCTTAAACCTTTCGTACTCGAAATGTCAATTAAATCTTTGCTAGCCTCTAGGCTCATATGTCATATGATCATAAGTTAATGAATGCCATGAATGTGGTAACTACCAACAATATGGCACAATGTTCGAGATCGCAGCCATCACTGAGCCGATCAATGTCCGTATAATCATCATCGTCATCGTTATCAGCCAGTAATCTCGGCCGGGCGGTTCTGCGAGGGGGTTCATAGACGGTAGCGTTGTATCCGTTAGCGTCATTGCATAGATCTGTTTGACAATACCAGTAGCAATGTACCATGTGTTTAGTCCTTAAGCAAGTATCAGCCGAGCGGTCCCTTGGGCCACAGCTCCTTCTAAGTGCATATACGTCCACGTGACCTACAAAATAAAAATAACACATTAAATTCACAGTTGGGGTTGGGTATTTGATACTGATTTACATATGACGCCATTGACGTTTTATTCATTTTGTGGTTCCTGTTTTCTATGCAAGTTGAAGCATAGTTTTCTCAGTAACCCCCCTATCACACCAAACTAGTTCTTACCCGTTCTTGCCAGTCCTACGAAAACGTCGTAAAACGAGCTCAATCTGGCTGTGGTCGGGAAATATGTCTGAAATAATTAGCTTCTTCGTTCTTAAACAGTCTCCAATAGTGGTCCATCTCGTTCGCAGTTCGTTCAGGTCGCACCACGTCGGTGTGCAACGTCGTAGAACGCGTCCCTTAGTCTAGAAGGTCAACATGACCTGATTACAGAACGGTATGGTCGCCATCGAATTTTGAATCGATTAAAAATTCTAAAATCACATTCCCGTCTGAGAACGTTCATAAAGTTCGTAAATAGACCTTAGAAAGTTGCAGCTACGCTCATTCCGTTCGCACACAGTTTTAAACCAGTTTTGAAGAACGCAGTGGCAACTTGTTTGGTGTGATAGCTATATTTTTGCTAACTCGTTCATAAGCAGTGTTAAATACGTTCTTAATCAGTTTAAACCCGTTTGCAATTAGTTCTACCTCGTTCTCAACACGTCCTCAGACAGTTCAACTCGTTGTTAAAACGTCCCTAGTAGGATTGAAGTACGACGATTCCGTTCGTAGTACGTCCAGCTCGTCGTTAGTACGTTGTCACTCGTTCTAATTGTAGAACGTGACGACCACGAGAACATTTTGAGCATTGTCTAAGTTCTAGAGGACCTACCCGTTCGAGTACGTTCGATGAAGTTTGTAAATAGATCCCAAACGGTTCTTAGTAGGTCCAGTCCGTTCGTACACAGTTGAAGCCCGTTTTCTTAGAACGTAGTGAGAACTAGTTTGGTGTGACAGTAGGGTTAAGGCATTCATGTTTGGTTTTAGAATTGTTCTAATGACGTTTAGACAAAGTCAATATTTCTAACGAATTATTTCTACTAAAGTCACCTGTACTAAAGTATCATTCCATACATATGCATACAATGAACTCTTAAGAGTAACAATTGCACAATAAATTATGTATGTCTAATGCATTTCATAATATTGACCACAAGATTGTCTCACTAGTCTAAATTAGATTACTTTTAAGATGTATTGAGGTGACATCTATAGATTGATACAAAATGTTTTTTATAAGTTTCCAAGTATTTTTGCAAGAAATGATATGTCGTTCAAAATAGAATTTTCTTCATCGTTGTTGCTTTAATGAGGAGATGATAGTACATATTTGATGCATGACAAGTGACGGAATTCAATATACGTTTATAAAATAGCAAAGCAAAAACGCCCTAAAAAGTCTTTTCATGATCGACTGGTCATGGGCTAATTTAAAGGGCTTTAAAAGGCAAAATATATATGTATGATAATGATATAGATCTGTCGTTAAACAATTCAGATTATTTTTACGGTGATTGATACCTTTGTATCGTTGTCTCTCCGTAAGACACCACTCATCCTCATCGCATTCCAAGCGAACAACTCCGCTTCCAAAGTTATCTGGATCTGTTATACACTGGTGCCCATTTTCGTCTGGATTATCGAAATATGTACAGGCGTAACATTTCAATGGGTTGACAGGCACTGGAAAAGCATCAATCCAGTCATAATTTAAGAAACGCCAGGCTTGAAAAGGATTACTAGAAAATCACCGAGATAAAAGTCACGTGCGATTTAGAGTTTCGAAGAAAATGAAAACAAAGAGAAGAGTTGTCAGTGCTGAGACTGTTACCCTGCGTGCAGAGTCTAGTTAATCTGAAGACGAAGCTCTCTTTTAAGAAGTGAAGTCAAACGAATGCAAAGGGTAGAGACTGTTATCATTATTTGGTAATTCCAAAAATTGATTGTCTGTTACAATCTTATTTCCACAAGATGACGATATACAGTTTAAAGTAATTTAAGATTTAATTTAAAAGTAAATAGTAAATTTAATTTACTATTTTTCGTACTGTTTACAACAATATTTTCCCACCATTATCCCATTGGTAAACAGTTTATGACATGATCTGCAGTGACAGTACGTTACCAGAGGCACAACGCCATTGCTGACATTAATAACAGCATCTTCACTTTACAAACATGTACTATATGTATGGTGTATGGTCAACAATATACTGTTAAATTGCAGTTACGATATATATAGTGCTAAGTACATTATTCAGGATGTTTATATGTTTAACGTGGTGTTCGATACCCCAAATAGTAGAATCACTACTTTTAAAACATAAAAAAGTGAGATCTATTCAAGTTGGGATACGAAGTTATCTAGATCTCAAGCTTTAGCATGCCATTTTGTGCAAAACTTAATTGCATATTATATTTGTACCATGTGTACCACAAATTACGTTTATGTTTACGTCTTTGGTGATATTTGTATATGCTTAGGTAATATCTAAACCTTTATTACCAGTGAGAAAACAATAACCCGAATCGATTTCTCGATTTTAAGTTGTAGATCGAGGAACAGAATTATATCATCTAGTCAACGACTTGTTTTCTGTGAATGATTTAGTTATAGCTTTATATTATGATAAACATTTCACCTATTTAGAACTATTCCAAAACACACTTACCCCATGTCATAAAAGATATAACAAAAACGACTACTCCTTGTTTATAATACATCTTGTTGTTTCTTTACTATTGTTTCGCAAGTGCGATATATTGCTCCCCTGGAAGAGAGCATAAGTTATGTTATATCCAATTACATACTACATTAGACCAAAATGTTCAATATTTGGGCATACGTAAACATAACCTTTTCCTTATGATGAGAAATTGAGATTTTGAATTCATAAATCGTAATGCCCAGTAGATGATTAAAACAAAAATAAGTACAGCCAAATGATATTCCAAGCTAAACAATCAATGGTAGATTTCTATCTGCATTTCCTTAATTTGCAATCGATTTAAAAACTCTAAAACTTTAAAAATCTCTTTCAATTTTCCCGTTCCAATTTGCATCTCGGTTTTTAGTTCCTAGCCTGTAGCCTCGGGAACAAGTCCAGTGGACAGGATATTCCCTCAAGAAAAATATTTTGCACTATGGCAGTCACTATTTGTGTACTATTAGCTTATTATTTTGTTTTATTTTATGCGTGTTGAAAATAGATGGCGCGGTATGAGTATACCTGGAGTATCCAGTTTGAAATATTGAATTCCTTTTTATAAATAATTATTGGCCTCGTGCAAACAAAAACATAAACTATTTTAAGAAATGTGCTCATGTTCAAAGAAAACTGGACCGCATGCTGTTCGGTTTACAAGAACTTTAATACTTTAGCAGAATTCCCTCTTTAATTGTAAGCAACCTCAAATATGGTTATATACTTTCAATTGGTGTACCTGTTCTCAATTAACAGAGTTTTAAGTCACATGTATCCACGGGCGTCTATGCATCGATCGGTAATTATGTTTGGTCTACCTGTTCAATGACGTTTACGTTTATTCACATGCCATTTTTTCAATAAAGTAGTTTAATTCAAAGGATTTCAAAATGTTATTTTATTTACACGATCAGAGAATATTAAGTTAAGAATCACTTAAAAGTCTGGCGAATTATTTTAAAATCTTACGAAACTTGAATTTGTCGAGGGAAGGATAAGTTATGAACGTTTAAGGTTGGTAATTTATTTATTTAGTAATTAATATCGTCCATTTATCTTTTATTGAAAAATGAGACGTCCATGTAAGTTAGTTTTAATTCTTTAATGATTTACTTTGAAAATAATGAAAGTAAAACTTCTGGAAGTAGGTTCTTACGTAAACCGACTTACACAGAGGTCATTTCATCGGTGTATCACACTCACATCAGTCAGTCAATAACCTTAAAACCTTTAGAATATTAATCTTTTGGATTTAGTAAAACATATTGGCGGCATCGGAAGAATCAAAATGTTTGTAACTTGGCCACGTGGTTGTAATATTGTAGGAATATCTGAACAGGAGCGTCATCTTAAAAAACAGCGAGGAATACCACTCATTTTTGTTTAAATAACTACCGTATACAAAGGTGTGTGCTGTTTCCAAGAGAAGTAACATGACAATGAGGATAATTACATGGATTGCTCTCGTACTACGTTCTTCAACAGTCGCACTCAATGTATCTATTGGCGATAGTAAGTATAACTGGCATTTTGTCTGGTCTAACGAAGCATTTTTGTAACGAAGGTTAGCGAAAAATTGTGTCCACACTGGCTTTATCCAACCCTAACGAAGCAATTATTTGGAGTTACACTGCACTTAAAATGCTTCGTTGCGCGTGCGCATTACTCATCCGCCCCGCCTACTTATTTATTAATATTCTTATTATTTTGATATAAATCAATGATCATAACTTTTAAACTTTATTTTAACAATTCTGCACATAAAACGACTAGTTCGAAATTCCAGGGAAAATAAAACCAGATGAATGTGATCATTCCGTACACATGTCCATACATTTTTCCAATTACTACGATTTTTATATATTTCGGTCAATACGATTACAAGTATTCTTCTCATTTTTCTATCATTTCTGTTGGAAAACAAATGGAATAGTGAGAGGTTAATTACTAGGTGGGATTGAATTTGGGGGTATATATTATTAAATTTCGGCCTTAACTTACTATTTCATGACCAATTCATTTTAAAATGGATATTACCCGCCACTATACCATTCATATTTGAATGAGCTGGCCATAAAAATAGTATGTCAATCCATCAGGCGTCAGTTGAATTCGAAAGTGACGCAAATAGGAAGAAACTTGAATATCAGTTTTAAGCAACGTCTTAGGACACATCAATAATTCAAAGGCATCAATAATGAATACCTAAGCGGGACTTTGGTTTTTGGGGCTGGCCTAAAACATGGATTCTCTCTGTTGCAAATACTTGTCAACAAGGAACAGTCTTGGCCAGTCCGGAGAGCTTTCCTTGTTCGCATGACTTACATAACATGGTAGTTTTGAAACGTTAATTCAATCTATTTAAACATGAAGTTGGACCAAGGGAAAGATCAATACCCGGTGGTTTCAGCGGGAAGTGGCGTTTCGTTCAGTGGATGAGCTGCGCGCGCACGCATAAATGTGATTATCCAATATAATTAGGGGAGGGCTATTTGAAGGAGTTTTTGGTCTCAGGCGCGACCCAGGGCTGTTGTCTTAAGGACATTTCGTTGAAAATGAGCCATTCGGCTGATAATTGGTAAGAGTTTGCGATCTTATAATGTATAACTGTTACTCAGACACATATTTTGACACGATTCTGTTGGAAATAAGCTTTGAACCGAGAGATATTCACGATTGATATGCACATTTTTGATTGTGCCATTGCTTTTCTATTGCACAATCCATGTATTGATTGAAGAAACATTAATAATGCAGATTGGTTTACCTTCAATACATGGCAGACACTACATATCGGTCTATTAATACCAGTTTGTGCCTTAAATAGTTTTATATTTCCAGGCACGGCCTGGAGCCTGGGTGTGTTTGTCTCTTATGTGTATGCTTGTGCATGGACTTCTAATCACTAGCAGAATTTAACATGATGCAAACTCGACATTATAACTCATGCTGTAACATTTTGACTTCGCTGGAAAACAATAGGAATTATTTTTCTTGCCAATCAATCATGAATCACAATCAAAATTTCAGAATGATCAATCAGGCAATGGTCCAAATCAAGTTATAACATTATATGATATTCAGCAAGAAGTCCGGTAGAAATACAGAATATTTAAACATCAAAGCTGAAAGTTAAAAGCTAATCTGTCAATTTTCTGTCTGCAAAAGAGCGTTTACATTTGACACAATAACAGACTGGGGCTTTGAAATCTAGGATTCCCCAGGAAAATATGACGTCATACTATTTAGCATAAGGATTTCCCTATTGGTCTGGGTCGAGCCTTGTTCGAAAACACAATCCATAAATACATGCTAATTTCTAAGGAGATAGGAAGTGTATAACGTGTTTATCGATTTTGTTTAAAGATTTAATCAATTATCAAATTGTTTAAGTGGATAAAGTGGTCACACTTGCTTCAATTCATAGCGAAATCGACGGATAGAAACTGACCGAATTCCCGATATCCTACCCCGTATTACTGTAGGCTATAAGCACAGTGACCTACAGAGGGCGCTATCACAAACAAGTACTGCACGAACCGATAAATTCCCGGGTATTGTAACGCCCTTGGTTGGACTTCAATTATAATTTAAAATCGTCGAAGCATAAAATAATGGACGTCCAATTAAAATTGCAAAAGCTAGGGCGATAGCCAGTTTAATACGATTTCTGAGTACGCACATTTTCGTGTAAATTAAATCAGCTAAATCCCTGATGAGATTCACTGGGAGGTAATATTATCATGGTATTAACATCTAATTATATTCAAGGAATGATAATACGAGGAGCAAAGAATCTAAATATCAAACATGTATGCCACATCATTCTATTTAGTAAGCATAGATTACGTAATTTAAAAAGTTTACGCTTCCACACATGAGACTGAGTTTTCTAGGTCTAATATTCGCTTCATAGATTGAATAAACGTTTCAAAATTACCGTATACGGTAAGACGGTTTTTAGATTGATACTTTATGTCATATTCATGCCAGGAAAGGGAATCAGAATAAATCCTATTAAAGACGTGAAATTACATTTTTGTACGTGGCGTTTGGGGCTTGAGTTAGCGTCTATCAGTGACGTAAATAGGAAGGCTAATTATTTTAAACAATACGCATCATTATAATACGTACTTAAAACGTATTTTTCCTCGCCATTTCTCTCATTGAATACAAAATGATGAATGTGCTCTTTATTACGCGCATGCGCAAACCGCCAACTAAGCATTTTCTAACGAAGATACATTGGCAAAAAAGCTTCGTTGGGATCTAACCTTCGTTGAGTTTTCTACTCAATTGCTTCGTTATCAACTAAGCTTTTCTAACGCAGGCGGAGGTGTTACACTGGCCCGGCTTCGTGACGAAGCTTTTTGTCAAAATACTTCTTAACGAAGCATTCAAACGTCCTGTGTAACAGGGGTCAGGGGTCATAGACTATCTGCATAAAAGGAAATACTGGCCACTGGATAAATAATTTAACTTACGATAAAATGATCCTTCATTATCTCGTTAAACTCTAACTTTGAACATACAAAATAACCAGGGAGTCATTCTCGAGTTATTTTCTTCGAGATCAGGACTTCACTAATGAAACTTGCCTGGTGATTGATTACGTGTTTGCTTTACTTATTTCAGTAAGCGTCTCGTGTGGAGTTGAATCATCCACTGGTTTTGGACCGATAAAAGCAAGCTTTCTATATCAACCGACAGATGGCGACCCCCACAATGTGACAATATATCCCCAAGGATATGAATTTGAGGTAACGTAGGGAACACTTTGGTTGGTATTTATTCATAATTATGGAAATGCAGTATCGAGTTCAGTTGTGAAAGGTAAGGTTCAGTGCATGGTTTTGATTTGTGACAATTTTTTAGAAATGACAAAATGTTACCAGCGGATCAAGTCGGTTGACATTCTTAAATAACACATTTTCATTTTACTCTAATCCAGGTTAGGAATGGGTCATATTGCAGAGAGACAATTGAGACAGCATTCTCTACTGTTAATTGGAACAACACACTCCTTACATTGGTGGTCGACCATACTAATGTTTCAATTGGACAAGTCGGTCCATGTGGTCAAGAACGAGTTGTAAGTGACTGCCGAACTTTTTCGAAACCCTTTTTTGTTATTTCTATAGTTTTTGGATTTGGATGACCTGCTGTTCTGTATAATGATGTCAAACAATTTAAGACTCGATGGGGTAAGAGGGGCACGTAAATCGAGAATCCCAAAGCTATATAGGAACTCCTCTATTGAATTGAAAATTGTGACGTTTGATTATATTTTGTTTCCCAGGACTCGGGTACCATATTGTTCGATCTAATCATTCGCGAAGGAGTCACTCTAGACGAGGGTGATCGAATGGTAAGAGTTCACTGCAATTACAGATCAGCAAAAGTGATTTTGGAATCTTCATGTCGTGCAGGTGAGGTTGTACCGCGGCGTACCAGTTCAATTTTTATCTTGCTACACATTGATATTATCTATGTACCATGCGAATGGAGTAAAGACCAGATAATTGATCATTTCCTGAAAAGTGGCACAATTTCACGATATACATTGAGTGAAATGGCAGTTAGAGTCCCTTCTGAACCTCTATAGGCCTATACTAAACACACAGAACTGTGGCATTTCATTACCACTTTTAGTTTCAAACCACTCCATTTCAGAGGTTGTACCGGCAGCCAAGGTCATATCTATTTATCCTAATTTCGGACCTGTATCTGGTAGCACGATTTTAAAGATTAAAATTGATCATATGTCACCACTTGATGATCAACAAATAGAGACAATAAAAGTCGCTGGGGTTACATGTAACATCACAAGGTATCAATCTTAAATATCCATTATTTTAGAAAATAAGGTCGGACGAGCTTTCAAGTAGCTAGTCTCTGATTTTGTTGATCTTAGTATTTTGTAGAAGATTAAGTTAACCAGTGATAAAAGGGTATACTGAGCCCACAACATTTTTCTTTGAAAATAAGATAACCAAGAACAATTCAATGTGATTAGGTTTGTTGTGTCTAAAATTGTGTCAAATCGTTAATTCTCCTTTATGACACTTGTGCAGGATAAGCTCCGTTGTCAATACGACCACATTTGAATGCTTAACGGGGATATCCCCGTCCATTAGGAATGGCACCATCGCAATCTTACAGTATGGAAACACTACCCTGTCAAATGCTGCCCCAGGTGTAGATTTTCGGTACTCATACTTACCAGATCCAGAAATTAAGGACATCACTAACACTGCAACGCCTGTTAGGTAACTATCTTTAAATTTCATAAAGTCACTCATGGCTACAAGTGGTTGTTTCCTCTTGACATTAAAAAAAAATTACCTGAGAAAGGCCTTTTGGAAATTCTATTCTTGCGATCTCCTCATCCTCAGGAGATTCTCCTGTATAGCTCCATTTCCTCTAATTACAGTGGAGGTATAGATACAAACGTCATCGGTGTCTTTCTCACTTCTGTGGCCGATCCACAGCTGCTTATAGCTGTTAGGATAGGAAACACGAGTATCTTAGTGCAGCAGGTAATAATCGAAAATCCTTTATAAACAAAATTGTAACCCTCATTTATATCAGGTTGCTGCTGTATTATGTTAAATTACACGTGCATGTGCAAATATAAATTACAAAATACAATTACATGTACAGAATTCAGTCAAACACAAACACTATTTGGCAAACCAGTCCCACCAACAGCTTCAAATACTAATAGCTATAAATCACGTTCTTTTGCTAATTAATATTTATTTACATATTTTAGAAGTGTAATGAAGTCAGCTTTGCCTCGATGGCTTGCCAAGTTCCAAACCTAAACCACGCAGTGAGCAACATCACCTCCAAAATTCCAGTACTCGAGAACTTGAATATTACTGAGCTACTTGATAGCTTTGACTTCGAAGTCGGCGTATTGCTCGATGGTGTGAAGAAATATGAAAACTTAACCAAAGCCTTGCCTAACAACCCCAAAACCAAACTTCAAGTCACCCCAGATATTGAGCTTAAGGAATTGGAAGACTTCTTTTATGCGAATAATTGGCTTAAGATACTTTCACTTTCAATTCCGGTGAGTTCTGTTGATTTAGTTCAGAAAAATAATTTGTTTAATAATTTGTGTTCATCGTTTTAAAATACACTTTTATTTTATTGTTACGTTGTAATAGTTTCCTTCAATCATATAACGTATATTAATAGGTGGAAACGCCTTCTCCAGCTGTAAAAGGCTCTGATATGAATGTCAGAGTAGGTGAAAGCATTTGTGAAGTTCAATCATGAAACGTATATAAATAGGTGGAAACGCCTTCTCCAGCTATAAAGGCTCTGATATGAATGCCAGAATAGGTGAAAGTATTTGTGAAGTTCAATCATGTAACGTATATTAACAGGTGGAAACGCCTTCTCAAGCTGTAAAAGGCTCTGATATGAATGTCAGAGTAGGTGACAGCAGTTGTGAAGTGGTTCAGTTGAACGAGAATGCTCTTCTCTGTCGTCTTCCCGAGAGAAAACCAGATTATGGAACATTTGGGCCCGGACAAGACCTGTCGTATTTTGTCCAGGTTTGTAGTTTATGGTTATTTAATAAAACACAGATTCTCACGGATACCCTCAGTTTTTTGGAGTTGATCTTTGAGTTAATAAAATAACAAAACAAGAAGATGTCAGCCTTCAAATCTATCTTCAATTGCAATATAATGAAAGTATACTAAAGCTAGCGATACACTTGCCAAACATTGTCCGACATTTCTGTTTGTCCGTTTTGTCTGAGTTTATCCGCCGTTGTCCGAGGTTGTCCGCCAGACATCAAGGAACAAGGTTGTCTTGTTTTGTCCAAAAATGGTAATAGGATCATCACGTGACTCAATGCTTTTGAATTTGTCCGGAGAAAAGCATTGACATTTTCATTTTTTTCACCGGACGTAAACAGACAAATCTGGACTAGTCCGGACAATGTCCGCGGACAACCTTGGACAACCCCGGACGATGTTCAGGCTTGTCCGCTGAAAATGTCCCAGATTGTTCGGAGTTGTTCTTTAACTCCCTTGATGTCCGAGTTTGTCAGGCATGTGTATGGTTAGCTTAAAAGTAAATATATAATTATTGAACAGCATAGCCCTCGACAGGAATGCCCCAGAAGAAGTATTTAAGTCAAGAAAAATACAAAGCCACGACGAGATAGTGTTTACTTTGCTTCTATTCTTACAGTCTATAAACCGCACAAACGGCCCCATAAATGGGATGCAAAACATCTTGACGATTTATTATACCCGCATTTCATTAAGCTAGCCATCATACGCTTGCTGAACATTGTCCGACCTTGTCCGTTTTGTCTGAGTTTGTCCGCCATTGCTCATGTTTGTTCGCCGGACATCATTGGACAATGTCCGAGGTTGTCCTGTTTTAACCAAAAGTGGATTTGTCCGAAGAAAGGAAATGACATAAACGGACAAATCTGGACAACATCGGATACTTTCAGCGGACAAACCAGGATATCATCCTACTTTGTCCAGGGTTGTCCGATGAATATATTTTACTCTATAACTTCCTTGATGTCAGGGTTTGTCTGGCAAGTGTATGGCTAGCTTAAGTTCGAAGGTCAATGATCATGCAAATGGAGAGGAAACTATGCTTATTAGATATACTTTAATGCCGCAACATTTTGTTAATTTTAATTGAAGGCTCAAGTTGGGGAAATTGGGCGAAACTATTCCGTTGGCTATGTAAAGTACGTCAACATGGAGCTATATACTGGTCTAGGGGGAGGAGGCCTTGTCATACTTATTATTGGCTTTGTGATATTGGGAATATATTGCAAACGACGTAAAAAAGCTGTTAAAACTAAACAGATTCCCGAATTTGTGGATTTGAAGGTTTTGACTGACGATGGGAAATATGGTAGGCTACTTATTAGCTAATATTAAATAACTTAACGATGATGGCAATCAATTTTATTGTAATTATTTTACATAAAAACAAGGTCATCTGGGGAGGTTACCAGAACCTTCATAAAATCAAAAAAAGAAAAAGTAAGAGAACAATTGAATGAGAGATTTCTGTTGTATTGATAGTCTAGCTACAAGACCACGTACCCCCCTCTAATTGACTACACACATCTAACATCTGGAGAGGTGTGTAGGGGGGGGGGGGTTCACAAGAGCTTGTAGCTAGACTGTTGTATTACAAACCGGATTTATATTTTAGAAATATCAAGGGTAGAGATTGCACACCTCGACAAGAACCTGTCCGTTATATTGGGCAACAAATTGCTGGAATACAAAACCATTAAGATGAAGGAAATTCTTGGGCAAGGTAAACCTATTAAGGGATGTTAATCTCATAATAATGATATGGCTGTGAATATTTCACTTAATTTCAATGAAGTAATTCTTTGTAACTTTGGACTTGACCTAAAGATAAAGACCAACTTCCGATTTAATTTAATTTTAGGTCATTCTGGTATCGTTTACAAAGCAATTCTAAATAAAAAGGATGTTGCTGTAAAAACGATTAAAGCATCGGACTGTACAGAAGATCAGTTATCAGAATTCCTAACGGAGGCTTTAGCAATGAAGAACTTCGATCATCCGAATGTGCTGAGCTTAGTTGGTGTCGCAATGAATGATACGATCCCATTTGCTGTTATCCCATTTATGACTAACGGAGATTTGAAATCGTATATAGAAAATCCAAGAAGGGTACGTCATTAATAATTACAGATATTTGATGTGATTCTCTTAGTGAAGTTTTTCAGCTCATTTTAAAAAGCTCATATGCAAAGATATTATAGAGGAAAAGCAATAAATTCGGCTAAACAAGAGCAGAATTAAGCATTGCTGATTGTTTTTGTAGAGGTTCACGTTCAAAGATATGCTGGAGATTTGTAAACAAGTTGCTCAAGGTATGGAATATCTCGAGTCAAGACGATTCGTACATAGAGATTTAGCTGCTAGGAACTGCATGTAAGAATTTTGACAAATTAGACACGTGGCATTTATTTTACTAATATGGTGTATTGATTAATTAATAGAATGTTTTGGTCGATCTATTTACTAATATGGTGTGTTGATTGACTTATAGAATGTTGTTATACATTTATTTACTAATATGGTGTATTGATTGACTCATAGAATGTTGTGGTACATTTATTTACTAATATGGTGTATTGGTTGACTCATACAATGTTTTGGTACATTTATTTACTAATATGGTGTATTGATTGACTCAGAATGTTGTGGTGCATTTATTTACAAATACGGTGTATTGATTGACTCATAGAATGTTGTGGTACATTTATTTACTATTACGGCGTATTTATTGACTCATAGAATGTTTTGGTGCATTTATTTACTAATATGGTGTATTGATTGACTCATAGGATGTTGTGGTACATTTATTTACTCATATGGTGTATTGATAGACTCATAGAATGTTGTGGTACATTTATTTACAAATACGGTGTATTGATTGACTAATATGGTGTATTGATTGACTCATAGAATGTTGCAATTGTGGTACATTTATTTACTATTACGGTGTATTGATTGACTAATATGGTGTATTGATTGACTCATAGAATGTTGTGGTGCATTTATTTACTAAAATGGTGTTTTGATTGACTCATAGAATGTTTCTATACATTTATTTTCTAATATGGTGTATTGATTGACTCATAGAATGTTGTGGTACATTTATTTACTAATATGGTGTATTGATAGACTCATAGAATGTTGAGGTGCATTTATCTACTAATATGGTGTATTGATTGACTAATATGGTGTATTGATTGACTCATTTACTAATACGGTGTATCGATTGACTAATATGGTGTATTGATTGACTCATTTACTAATACGGTGTATCGATTGACTAATATGGTGTATTGATTGACCCATAGAATGTTGAGATGCATTTATTTACTAATATGGTGTATTGGTTGACTCATAGAATGTTGTTGTGCATTTCTTTATTAATATGGTGTATTGGTTGACTCATAGAATGTTGTGGTGCATTTATTTATTAAAATGGTGTATTGGTTGACTCATAGAATGTTGTGGTACATTTATTTATTAATATGGTGTATTGGTTGATTCATATAATGTTGTGGTGCATTTATTTATTAATATGGTGTATTGGTTGACTCATAGAATGTTGTGGTGCATTTATTTATTAATATGGTGTATTAAACATTCTTGTCAGTAATTATTGAAGGGTGAAACCTGTTCTCGATGAGAGTAAATCAAGTGCCTTTTATTGAAAAAGGTGTACCTAGTTTTTTTCAATTTGACATCGTCTTACTCATTGTTGAGGATTTCTTTACACTCTGATATTACATGTATATGAATTGAGAGTTACAGCCGAAAAGATATGTATAATTGTAATAAAAGTTATTAGATATTGCATTAATATATGTTTACTTTTTATATTAATTAGGGTGTCTTCTTCGAAGGAGATTAAGATAGGGGACTTTGGCCTGTCCAGGGATATTTACTCAGACACATACTATATGGATGAAACTCTGTCTAGACCACTCCCCATCAGGTGGATGGCACCAGAGAGTCTTTTATATGGCAAATATAGCAGCATGTCTGATGTGGTAATGCAAATGTATTTCTATATTTTCAAAAGTTCAGAAATTGTCGATATCCACACTTTGAACACTGTGCACTTGCCTAGTAGTCCATGGTATGACATCCGAATATGAAGGATCCGTAGCACACTATAGCGCAGTAACATTTGAATAAATACCCCAGGGCTAAGCACAAACGTTTTCTGTTCGAAAGCTTTTGTGTCTCGCCCTAAGATATTTATTACTCGATATAATACCTGATCTTAGGTCTCTATCTCTATTACGATTCGAACATTCAAACTTACCAAAGTTTTGTAAAATCTTCACTTCATTTCCTAACAATAAAAAGGTAGTTGGTGTGTCTAGGAGTATCTTGTAGCCGTTTATCTTTATAATAACACTATCAATATGTACATGTTGATTCAAATTCCTGAACTCATATACTTGTCATGTGAATTACTGATTGGCTTTTTTGCTGTTTTGTCATGTTTGTAGTGGTCATTTGGAGTGTTAATGTGGGAAGTGCACACTAGAGGTGGAACGCCGTATGCCGATTTAGAATCGCGCGAAATCAAGTCCTACGTCATCAATGGTCGACGACTAGAGAAGCCGCCACTAACGCATGATGACGTGTAAGATATTAGGAATAGATACTATTATAACAATAAAGTTATTCCGAAAAGTATATATTCTTCGACTGTATGATTTCTCTTTGTTTACTTTAGGTATGCTATTATGTGGTACTGTTGGGAAAACGACTCCCATTTCCGACCAACTTTTAAAGATTTGGTTGAAATGATTGGAGCCATCTTAAACGAAGCTGCACTTCAGCCGTTTGCGAAAGCGCAAACAACACCAGGTAGCTCAATACCTTTACAACAATCGACGCAATCTGCAAATAAGGCCAATAAGGGAACCAAGAGTTCAGGGTAGTCAATCATTCTGATACTCATAGCATCTTTCTGTTTCACCTGAAACATGCTCTGATATTATGAGGCATATTCTGTGATCTGAGCACATCAGATGGGAAGAGTTATAACTGTCAATAAGTGTGATAGTTATCATGTAATCATTTACCTTATTGTCAATACATTACATAATAGGCATTGTATTTAACAGCAGATATTAGCACAGACATGTGTACACAAGTTTAATGACCCCAATTAGATGAAATATGAGCTGGGATGAAAGATCTCAAAAATCCGCAATTTTGGGCTCTCCTGGATCACCAAATCAAGCTCATTATATCATGGCATATCAGAGATTATAGGAGTGAGATGTCATGGTTATCATGGTGGTAGTCAATAGTGAAAACAGCGATTTAATGAGTTTCACGAAGGATGAGTAAATGGGCCTGGTGACACAGAACGGGTGAAATTAGCTAACTTCCAAATAGAGAGGTGGATCGACATAGACATCAACATTTGACTGATATGCTTTAGTTTTCTTGTCCAAGACTGTACATACATCCTCAGCGGGAGATTAAATCTTAGAATTTGATCAAAGGGATTGTAATTTTCCTCGATTCTCTTATCTATGTTACAATGTGTATATTCGTTATTGTGTCACCGGTATGTGTTGATAAACCAAAACTATGTTTTTTGGATATCAGCATTGAGAAAAAAGTTCAATATACCATTCTACACTGTATATTTGTTACATCCTTCATAGCAGGGTTAGAAACTCAAACGGATGTCAGTTTTGATTATATGGTAATGTTAATAGGCAGCAATGTTTTAAACAATTCGTGGATAGGGAGGGGGGAGTGACAAGGGGACACTCGGGAGGGGACATTATCAAAGTGGTTCATGGGGCGGACTTAGACATTGGCAAGGGGGGGGGGGGGGTAGGACATACTCTTTTTTTCGATCTTGATCTTTTCGGCAATATAAGACCCGTTTGTTTGAAAATAAGGTTGCCTAAACCAATAAGGCCTAAATGTGGCTATGCAGAAACAAAGACTGCATTTCATAAAGCACTTCCCAAACGTCAACTGTAATCATGGTGATCAAAGGTTGTCAAGACAGATCAAAGAAATAAATGTATTGAGAAATAAGTATTGACTTCTTTTTCTTGTTACTTCGAATTAACCACTTTAATTATGTGGACATACAATTTTTCCAAAATTACAAAAATGCTCACAATAAATTAATCTTAATATTGGCTTAAACAGATATATCTTTAAGACCCTTAGTCTTTTGAAATTTTCAAACCGTATAATAAAGTACCATGTTTCACATGAGTATATTCTAGTTTGATTTATAGTACATTAAAAATGAATGGTATAATCGGACATGATACGGGTCACTATCATTATTTGGGAGAGGGTGATTAATAATAATATTAAGTACATGTGTAAACCGTTGGAATAAATTGTGCTGTTGCTCCAAGCCCGTAGCCTGGTACCCTTTGCATTCGTTTGACTTCACTTCTTAAGCCTGGAGGAAGGTTCGCTAAACAAACATACAGCAAGTATTTTCACAAGGGGGGGGGGGTCACTTTTCAAAAATGTCCAGGGGGATTAACATTTCACCCAAAGCCACTTGAAAATGTTCAGAATGTTGAAAATTACATGATTCATTGTTCATATGAATCCTGCACGAATCCTGAAGGTTGGATTCATTTGTAAACTACCTTACATATGAATCCTTTTGAATCCTGGCTACAGGATTCATTTGTAAACTACCTTCCATATGAATCCTGCACGAATCCTGAAGGTTGGATTCATTTGTAAACTACCTTACATATGAATCCTGCATGAATCCTGGCTACAGGATTCATTTGTAAAGTACCTTCCATATAAATCCTGCACGAATCCTGAAGGTTGGATTCATTTGTAAACTACCTTACATATGAATCCTGCTCGAATCCTGGCTACAGGATTCATTTGTAAAGTACCTTACATATGAATCCTGCACGAATCCTGAAGGTTGGATTCATTTGTAAACTACCTCACATATGAATCCTGCATGAATCCTGGCTACAGGATTCATTTGTAAAGTACCTTCCATATGAATCCTGCACGAATCCTGAAGGTTGGATTAATTTGTAAACTACCTTACATATGAATCCTGCTCGAATCCTGGCTACAGGATTCATTTGTAAAGTACCTTACATATGAATCCTGCACGAATCCTGAAGGTTGGATTCATTTGTAATGCATTTATGCGGATGACACTTCTCTACATCATCCTTTTGACCCTAAGCATCCACAAGAAGTAGATGCAATAGCCAGATCTAACCTAATTAAAATTGAAAAATTTTCTGACACCTGGAAATTAGAGTTTAAACCTGAAAGGAGTTCTGAAATGATATTCCACTCATCCAGATCTAAAGTAGATAATGTTTCTGTCTCAAAGTTAAACAATGTTGAAATTACCAGAGATCACGAGCACAAACATCTGGGATTTACTTTTGACCCAAGCTTATCATATGACAAGCATATTGGAGAAATCATATCAAAAATACGAAAAATGTTGAACCCTTTAAAGAAACTTAAATATAAGTTAGGTAGTAAGCATCTAGAAACCATATTTAAGTCCTTTATTTTACCCCATTTTGACTATGGTGCTATCATGTACAGCACAGCCTCAAAGTTCCTATTACAACGACTCGACAGTCTTTATTACAAAGCTGCACTTTATTGTTCTGGGTGTATCCAAGGAAGCAGTTCAAAAAAGGTTTTAAACCTACTCAATTGGCCAACTCTTGAATCAAGACGCAGTATCCAGATTAACAACTTTATGTTCAAAATTGTAAATGGTACAAGTCCTCCCTATGTAACTGATATTTTTGACAAATTTAGAAACCATGCAAACAGAGTATTGAGATATAATGAAGCATTTAAAATGCCCATTAGATGTTCAAATAGATTCTCCACCTCAGCAATACCATCTGCAATTTCAAATTGGATCAACCTCCCACCTGCTATTAAATCTAAGAATACTCTTTCGAATTTTAAAAAACACCAAAGAGTACATTTCCAAAAAACGCCCTCGATTTTGTCAACAAGCCAGCTTAATCTAACAAGGGTTCAAGAAATGTTCTCAATAAAGTGAGAGCCGACCTATACTTTAAAGCCCAGTTCTACGCTCACAATTTTCAGTCTATTGACAGCCCTAATTGCACTTGTGGAAAACCACAAACTCTGAAACATTTTCTCTTTCAATGTGACTTACTTACTATACAAAGACAGCAATTCATGGACAAACTTACTGATCTCGAACCAAACATCTTCAGTCATAATCTCCCTCAAACTGATTTCATAGCTATTTTGAAAACAGGAATTCCCAAATTAAACATAGATGCAAATTCCCAAATACTACTTCTCATTGTTAATTTTATCAAAGACAATAGCTAATTCCCTCCTTCTTATCCATCTCTAGTATCCTCAAGTCCCGTCACACTTGCCCTAGTCCAAGACCCTGCCTGCTCTGCCACTTCTACTTCCACCTGCCCCCTATTCTTATATAATGCCATTGTGGCGATTTAAGAATTTACATGTCTGTTACATATTTTTTGTATTCTATTGAAATAAATTTATTAATAATAAAATAATAAAAAATTTTTTTTTGTAAACTACCTTCCATATGAATCCTGCACGAATCCTGAAGGTTGGATTACTACTTAAACAGCGAATCCTGCATGAATCCTGGAGGCAGGATTCATACAGGATTCATATGCGCATATGAATCCTGCTTGAATCCTGCCTCCAGGATTCGGGGATTTGATTCTCTTTTTTTGCTGTGAAAACTCGTATTCAAGAAGTTCATCCATTTTGTTACATTGACGTTCCGTCAAAGTAACTAGTTGTGGAACAGTGTGCTTTGACATATTTCTTTTCTCAGTCAAATACATGTAAATCTTTCAATTTCAAGGTCTAAGATGTACTCAGTAAGTTGTAACAAATCTCAATAATGTAGATCAAACGATTTTGTGATTGTACAATGCCAACCCTTTAAATGTGAATTAACAGACATTTCGGCTTCAAATTGACACAAATTCTATAGAAGATGTTTGAAAGATGTCATGATAGCAATAAAGTTTAACATGCAGGAATAGTTCTTTTGTTTTTTTTATATCAAATACAACTGTTCTTCAATTGTTTTGCGCGACAGGCTTACTTTTCATCTCATGATTAAGTGACTTTTCAAATGACTTATTTTGCATATACAAACAAGACAAATGGTTATAATCAGTTTAGACAGTTTCCTTACTTACATATTTAGGCTACTGTTAATGTACAATGTATACACACATGTTTTCGAGCATTATGGATGCATTGTGGATTTATTAAGGTAAGTCCTTTTTTGCCTAAACACAGTTCATTTAAATGAAAAACAGAATGTTGAATAAGAGAAATAATTTTTTATTTTGTTTAATTACAAGTATACGAATAGACTGAGAAATATCCTCGTGTTTCGCAATTTAAAGGGAATGGGATATTTTATGTGCGCTTTGTTCCGGAAAGGGTAGGAATAAAACTGACAATTTAAGGTTTAGTTCCTTTATCTCTTTTGTAGGTGTGTTCATGAAACGTGAAAAGTCTCTATTAAAATGGATCGATGGGTTATGAGGAGGAACGTGGGAGAACTTTTGGCGATTCTTGTACTTGTGTTGATCGGGCGGTCCCCAATAGCCGGGGACTACGTATCAACCGATGAAAGTAAGTTATAACATTTATTATTTTTATCTTCGAGTTTTACAGTATTTTTTTTATATATATTTATATTAGGATTTGAAATCCCACCTTGAAAAATGAAAAATAAACTTTCCAGAATAAGTCAATGCGAATGTAAAGGAAAAGACCGCATTCTTAAAAGGCATACACGTGTTTGTTACTATAGTCCGGACGATATAAATAAATGATAAGTCGATTTTCAATCACCATTTCCAAACCATGGTGGTTTGAAAGCCCATAGTTTCCAATATTGTTTAGATACATTACCCTTAAAATTTGTATTGCATTTTTATACTCTCAATTCTCCAATTCTCTTATTTTTAACATGGGAAATCCTCACTTCAGCAAATCCACTACTAATTTATTTATGGTTTAAACTGTACTGAGCATACATGCTCTATTTGTGGCCATGTCGATTTTCTCTTACGATGCTAATTGTTTTGCCATGTATACTGTCATGAATATTTACTTTTTTACTTTCATATTTCAGTCAGCGTATCGTGTGGTGCTGATTCGTTTTCTGGTTTTGGACCAATAACAACCAGCTTCCTGGTCATACCTCCAAAATATAATCTAACAATTTATCCTAATGGATACGAAAATCAGGTAACTAAAATGAGATAAATGCAACAAAGGCCATTATTATTAAGGTATTGTCAATAAAGAGAATACAAAATAGCATTAATCCTAGCATTAAACATGACACTAGTTGTCTAGTTATTCAAAACTGATCGGTGTTTTACTTGTCCATATTTAGATGTCTCTATTCCAATGGTTCCAACAGTTTTTAGTGCCACATTTTAAAGAATATAGAAGCACAAAACATAACTGATCGACTATAACAAATCATCTCAAGTTTGCAACAGATCAATTATATGCGTTTTGAAATACAGGGTGACACAAACAAATACAATTCTCTCATTTTACTCTGAGATAAATAAAATGAAATGAACCAAAATCCGACCATGCCCAAAATAGAGTAGTTTCTGTCTTTTCATAACAAAATAACAATAATATAACTACCCATAACCACTTTTATGGAATACCTTTGCAAATTATAAAGACACGATGGCCTTATTTCATACATATTGATAAAGAAAGGCTTGCAGTTTTAAGTGAATTGGGTGGAGTGCATGCCTTGACGAAAAATTAATTTTTCTAAATCTCAAAGGCATTGATACAGTGTAGGTAAATCATCGTTTCTCTATACTGATCACTGTCTATCTATACACATGGGAATTCATGAAGACTTCAGGATAAAAGTAATTTCAAAATAGAGGGATGTATTTTGTGTCACTCTGTCTTTATTTATTCAGGTCAAAAATGAGTCCGTTTGCAGACAGCTTATTATAAGTTCGCCTATTAAATGGAACTACACACTTGTACTTGATATTGTTGATCTATCCGTAGGAGAAGTTGGACCCTGTGGCCAGAAACGAGTCGTAAGTTTTTAGAGTACATGCCAGTGAGCTAAAGCTTCTATTGAAATCCCTTGGTCCAACGCACTTCGATTCCCATCGACTTGTTGTCACTGCTCATCACTTTCCATATATTTCCCCATATTACGTTTATGTTAGACCGAAAGACCAAATACGAAACAATATTTCGAAAAACATTATGTGGTTTAATATTACATATTAATTGTGAAAGTTAATAAAATTATTAATTAAGTTCCCGAATATCATCACTTAATCGATTTCCTTTTCGAGTAAATACTAGTTGTATAAGCGTAACTAAACAAGAGACTGCCTTCAAAAATGTTTTTCTCTGATTTTACCTTTCTCTGATTCACCTTTGATAATTCTCAGGATCCGGAAATTGTTCAGTTTGATCTCATCATTCGTGGAGGTATCCTGTTAGATGAAAGAGATACGATGGTGAGGATACAGTGCAGGTACAAACCGGCATGGGTGATCGTGGACAGCATATCAAGATATAAAGGTACTGTTCACGCTTCAACAAATGGCGAAACATAAATCGTCGCATGAGAATAACTTTGTACTATCTCACATTTTTACGGAACTGAGAAATCAAGGTTTGAAAGTTTAGAGGTCTGTATCTTACTTAGTATTGCTATGTGAAACTTAATTTTTTGTATGTCACCTGGTCTCACCCTAGAGATATCTTATATGAAATATCATACCTTGAAACAATTTACAAGATCCTTTTTTAAAACTATGGAAATGGAGTTGATACAATTTCCCACTGGAATAACAGCTTATTTCTAATTTCAAATTGTCATATCTGATATCAACTGTTTCAACCAATCAGCTCTCTAAGAATTGGTCATGTGACTTGCAAAACTTGGAGTTATAACAATCTTATATTAAAACAAAGTATGCCAATATGCATGTTATTGTATCTAGAATGAAAAATAATGTTTTGCTTTGTAAAAAAATCTTCAAAAAACCAAAGAATATTATTTAATAAAATAAAGAAAATTCAATTTATAAAACTTTAAAATCAATTTCTCAAATAAGTACAATTATTTCTTAATTTGGGAATCTCAGGACACCCTTCAAAAAGAATTTATTGCCTTCGAAACTCAGGCTAGACAGAAGTACAATGCCTTGAAACCAATGATGCCAATACGGTCCCCCACATATTTCCCTCGGTATAAACCCTGTAGCCTAAACCTCCCAGCACATTACAATGTAGGCCCTAGGGGCCGGTCCGCTGGTCATTATCAGGTTATTCTTGATACAGACCAGTTGATTTTTTCACTGGGTATAGGAGAATAACATTGCAACTGGTCCGTAATTCCATTTTGACCAGCAGGTTTCAGATCCTTAGGGCCTAAGACATAACCAATTTTTATTACATGCACATGGAAGAAATTTGAAAATAGAAAAATAATTTCTAATTAATTTTAGATTAATGAAAGTGATGAAACCTCGATTTAGGAAATCACATTTTGTTCATTGGGATGCAGCTATCATTATCCATTCATTTTCTGTTGTTTGCTACTCTGTGGAGTACAATTGGGAATTGAAGCAATTGTAGAAATGGAGACTAAGAGTGGCTCTTTGTAAAGAAATTGAACCAATTTGTTACTTTTCCAAAATAAAATGTAGATGATCTAAAAACAATGATCCCAAAAATGCAAAAGAAAGGACAAATCTGAAAAACATACTAGTAAATAACTAAAAAGATCCCAGATGTTCAGTGAAAATTTCAAAGTAAATCATAGATGAAGAGAAAATAAAATAAGTGTTTTAAGGGACAATACTAACATAAAGGTAACTCCTTATTGATATTGTGTATGGTCAGTAAAAGTTAAAGCTAGTTTAAATAGATTTAGCTTTTTTTCCACAAACTATAAAACATCATTTTGAAAGAGATTTCAATAGTATACAGACAGTGATTGCCTTTGCGCGATGTAGTGCAAAATATGACAGTTACTATTTGTTTTGATTACTATATCTAGTATATAACCTATTATTATGTACTCTATTTGAAGAACAAATAAGTAGTCTTTCATTTTCAACATTTAATGATGACAGCTTCGTATATGTATTTCTATTGCATTTGGCCATTCAAACCCCTATAAGACCTGGTAGCAAGGAAGATAAAGGGTACTTTTGACTGCTCACATGATCTAATTAAATGGTCATTTGTACTTTTCATCTCACCTGGTAGGAAGGATTTAGGTTTTCGAGGAAATTAGTAATTCTATTTCATATCATGTGGCCATGAATATCAATAATCCAATGAGCATCCATAATACAAATAGTAATTGAGGGCATATAATTTGAATATGCATGGGATTACACATACTGGATCATTTTATTTTTTTGATCTACCCTAATAGTTCTAAAACTAAAACATGAAAGGCCATGCATGCAAACTGGCATGGTATTGTGTTACAAAACATTATTTCATTCTAGATACAATAACATGCATATTGGCATACTTCGTTTTAATATAAGATTGTTATAACTCCAAGTTTTGCAAGTCACATGACCAATTCTTAGAGAGTTGATTGGTTGAAACAGTTGATATCAGATATGACAATTTGAAACCAAGTGAAACAAGTTTGTCTGGAGATGGTACAATTTCACATTGAATTCTAGCTTAATGAGAGGGAATTGGGATGGGGCATGTATCTGAGATGAAAGCCTGTGTAAACATAAACATAAACATATCAAGATGTCAAGATCATACATGTTTTTGCGAAATGTATTTTGCAATGAGCAAAACATCGTATTGGTAATAATTCATCAACATTCATCACTATGGCTTGTTTCGATCCTTGTTCCTGTGATGTTATTAAAGTTATAAACTGTATTAAACATGTTTTTCTGAGCGTTGGATCATAGTTTGGGATATTTGGGACCTTTTTCCTCATAAAAGGTTGTGATTTTTGTTGCGCGTTTTGGTCCAATCGTGGGGAGGGGGAGGGTGGATGATGGTGTTGACAATAGAGATCGTAAGCTGTCACTGTTTTCCACGAGGGGATCATTTAAGTCTTCATATGAATGCTTGAGTACCTGTAAGATTCGGTGTGATCGAACTCGATGTGAAAGAAATTATAGTCCCCCGGGGATTATGGTCCCCTTTCTTGACGGCCTTTAGAGGCCCTGATTGTGGATACGATAATAAGGGAAAGAGTTGTATTTAGGTCACCATATAAATCAATGGAAAGTAGGACCATAATGATAGGACCTCCTACCCTTTTACACCTGGCCTGCACCATTGATCTTGATAGAGAATTGCCCAATTAGCCTTGTGTTTGTCATGGTTAAATGTAACGACATGTAACTGAAATCGTAATAAATATTCTCGGGTATATATTTTACAGATTTAGAACCAGATACAAAGATTACACACGTCCATCCTAGCTTCGGGCCTAAATCTGGCGGGACACTTGTGGAGATAAAAATAAAGAATCTTTCGCCACATGAACAGATAGAGGAGGTTAAGATATCTGATATTATATGTAACATTACAAGGTAAAATATCTACACATACCTCAGTTATGACATTTGTGATTCAACCTGGCTGTAAGTGTTTTTTCTTAATAAAACGCTGTAGCTTAAGCCACTGGTCCCAACCTGGTTATAAAAACACGTGTTTATCAGTCTTTATAACAAAATGGATGAACTTCTGTCGGAGGGAATTTGAATTTCATCATTTTCACAAAGGAGAAGGTCGATTTGTGGTCATATATTTTAGCCGTATGTTAATTGTAACATCCGGTTACTAAAACGTTAGTAAGTAATATGCAGTAGGTCTAATAATCATGTGAAAATTCCCTCAACAAGGACGTTATCTAGTGAATTTCATATGTCTTTGTTGCGTTGTGTTAACGTCCCGATTGCAAGAGGTTTCTCACCGGGGTTTCTCACTTGATTATTGAAGCCCTTGGAGTATAAGAAGTGCAACACTTTCCAATGTCCAATGCTGTATTTTGTACCCCCTGGTCCAAGGAACTCTGCGAGTCATCATATAATACTCACAATTTTTGACAATGGTCATCTTTGGGTTTCAACATTTTAAAGTAATGGACATTCCGTGGTGATGTTCAGAATTTTATGACCATAGAGTTTTTAACACTTCTAGCAAAAACTGGATTGACAACATCACCACAGTGGAATGTCTGACTGGAGCATCGCCATCAGTGAAAAATGGTACCATCTCCATTCTACTCGTTGGGAAATTGATATTTTCGAATGCTGAACCTGGCGTAAACCTTGACTATTCATATTTAGAAGATCCAGAAATAAGGAACATCACAAACATTGAAACGCCTATTAGGTAAATACTGCTCCTTTGACTACCTAAGATAACACTGACATTACAGGTCAAACCTGTAGAAAAAATTAAGTTATCAAAATTGTAAGATATTCTTAAAACAGCGTTTTCAAATTAAACTATTTTGACAAAATTTTAGGAGTGATTATGACTTATTAATGTTATCATATTGATTAGTCTGGACATAATAACATATTCAATAAAATAAGCAAGTAGTTTATAGACTTGACTCTGCGCGCAGGGTATCTTGAATGTCACTTTCGTTTTAATTTTCAGTGGTGGTATAAATATAAAGATAATCGGCATCTACCTGACATCAGTTCCTGAACCACAACTCATTATCGTCGTGAAAATAGGAAACATGACTGTTTTTGTAGAGCAGGTAAGGAAAAGAAACAGTTGAAGAAATGGAGAAAGGCATGTAATAATCGAAAATGTTCATATTCATATGCATTCCGTTTTGAATGAAATCTGAATCTTTTTAAGGAGTGTAATGATGTCCGTTTTGACTCCATGCTCTGCCAAGTTCCTGACCTAACCACTGCAGTAAACACTATTACCTCCACAATATCTGACTTACAAGGTCTTAACATAACTGAACTACTTGAGAACTTTGACTTCGAAATCGGCATAAAGCTTGATGGTGTGAAGAAGTATGAGAACCTAACAAAGGCCTTGCCCAACAATCCAAATACCAAACTTAAGGTTACTCCAGATATTGAATTTAAAGAATTGGAAGATATTTTTTTTGCAAATAACTGGTTCGATATACTCACACTCGCTGTTCCGGTAAGTGCTAGTACAAAACCAATAGTAATTGCTTCAGTATGGCTTTTAAGAAAGTAGTTCTTTATCCGTTTTCCTGATAGTATATGAATAAAGTTGAGGGTAGCTTATTTGCTTTTTATAATAGGTACATGTATTTTGTTAGATATGACGTAGGTGTAAATATTAGAATGTAAATGAATGTAAATTTTATTCATAACTAAATGCAGGTGAAAGATCCTTCTTCAGCTGTTAGAGGATCTGATATGAATGTAAGAGTAGGAGATAGCATTTGTGAAGTGATTCAGTTGAACGAGAATGCTCTTCTTTGTCGTCTTCCCAAGAGAAAACCAGATTATGGAACATTGGGGGCCGGACCAGAACTGTCGTATTACGTTCAGGTTCGTATAACGATTTCACGTCACCAATTCACTGTTAACTTGTTTCTGTCACACCTTTTCTTGTTCCCTTGGAGTACGGTCTGTTGATATCGATCAAAATTATGTTTTAAATGTAGGCCCAAGTAGGGGAGATTGGGCGAAACTACACAGTTGGTAACGTAAAGTACGTCAACATGGAGCTCTACGTTGGACTTGCTGCAGCGGGAGTTGTCATTCTTATTATTGGCTTTGTGATACTCGGAGTATATTGCAAACGACGCAAGAAAGCGGTGAACAATAAACGAATTCCAGAGTTTGTAAACTTGCAGGTTTTAACTGAAAATGATGGGGAATATGGTATGTGTGCATATCTAGCAAAAAGTATTTTCTATTTATTATTGATAGTAATAATTATATGTCAAAATTGGGATAATGGTACATGCTACAGAGGGGTCCAAAAAAGTGAACCCCTGCAACGGGCCATATTTCCCTTATTACTTGCAGGAATTCTTAAAATGCGATTTTCAATATCTGTGATTCTTCAACCCTTAAACATCCTTCCCCAGATATTTTTTAAGCTGCAGTCTTAAAGAATATTTTCTGACTTTGTTCAATTTTGAATCCTGCGCATTATGGCTTAAAACTAACATCCTACCTAAATGTTAGTTGCAAAGTTATTGTGATCAAAAGAATTGTTCTAAGCTTCCATGGGCGAAAATATTTTCCAGTGAAATCGCGAACATACCCCTATATGATCTCGAAATGTCAATATCTTAATCATAAATCATGGACCAATTCTAATGAAATATGGGTCAAAACATTGAATATTAGATTTTTTGATTTTTTAAAGATATTTGATTAACGGCTTCTCAGATTCCTGGTCACAAGGGGCAACTTCCTTCCAAAAGAGCCCCCTCTAACTGTTACTGTAGGTAACATACCCTTGAACTGTTGAACGGTTAAAACTGCCTCAAAATGATCAATGGAAGTGTGAAATGTGTTTTCTGCTTAAATAGAGTCCCCTTTGTCACTTGGTAGGGTTTTAAACTTGTATCATACTGAAAGCTGTTTAAGATCATCCAATGTGTTACAACAATTTCCGCGAATCACATTGGTAAAATTTTGCACAATATCTAATTTTCAGGCATGTTTGCTCTTGTAATTTCTTCAAAATTTAAGACAGAGAATAAATTATGGCATCAACCAAAATTTTAGACCTTTCTCTACAACATGTGATGATATGAGTCTATTTATCCAAGTATTAAGGAAAATATAGTCTGTTGCAGGGGTTCACTTTTTTGACCACCCTTTATACTAGCACGTACATGTATGTACCTGTAAATCAACCGAGGCTGAATCAGCCATGTCAGATAGCCACGCCATCTTGATTATTAGTTCAACAGTGAATGAACCCATTACTTACATAATACATCTACTTGTAGCAACCTCACGGATTGAGATATCACAACTTGAGAGAAACCTTGCTGAAATATTGGGTGATCGACTTCTAAAATACAGTGACATAGAAAAGCAGAACATTATTGGACAAGGTTCAAGTTTTATTTATCATACAATAAGTATTGTGTCTTTTCTCTCTGGGGGAAGGGAAGAAACAGCGTTCATTCTTTCTTCCGTTCATTCCGTTGAAGAAGGAAAGAACAGAGAAAATTGTCTCTTGATCCCTGCCTTCGTTAGAAATTTAACTCTGTGTTATAAATGGTGTTGTTATGATTTTTAGATTTGAGATATCACTTGGATATCATAAAGGAAAACATTTTACACATTTCAGGTCATTTTGGAATTGTATACAGAGGTATTCTAAACGAAAATGTTGTTGCTGTGAAAACGATTAAGGCATCTGGATGTACAGAAGATCAGTTATCAGAATTCCTGACAGAGGCTTTAGCAATGAAAGACTTTGATCATCCAAATGTGTTGGGCTTGGTTGGGATTGCAATGAATAATACGATTCCATTTGCCGTTATCCCATTTATGGCCAATGGCGATTTGAAATCGTATGTAGGGGACCCAGATAAGGTACATATCGATTATAAATCAACCGAAGTAAATCTGAAAATAAAGTCAATGTAGATTGTCCTGTACTCATGAATTTGAAGACAAGTGACACAACATTCCACTTCGGCTAAATTAAAGGTAAAACAAACCCTATCATATCACAGTCAATTCATCGTCCCATATGATCAATCAGATCAATGAACCATCTAAATTCCTAAATCGACAATTTGTATATCAACCAAAGTTCATGTGTAAAATTGAAGCTTGAAACACGGATTTTGTTTTATTTGTAGAAGTTTACGTTCAGAGATATGTTGGAGATTTGTAAACAAGTTGCTCAGGGGATGGAATATCTTGAGTCAAGACGATTTGTACATAGAGACTTAGCTGCTAGGAATTGCATGTAAGATATTTTGGATCGAATATGTACAATGACATCTTCATGAACACACAACCATCCACAATTTCAAATTATTATGACGACCCATGATTTATCATTTGAATGTGTATGATTTCTACCATGATTTTGATATTTTGTTGTTACCCTACTATCACACCAAACTAGTTCTCACTACGTTCTCGAAAACGGGCTTCAACTGTGTACGAACGGACTGGACGTACTAAGAACCGTTTGGGATCTATTTACAAACTTCATCGAACGTACTCGAACGGGTAGGTCCTCTAGAACTTAGACAATGCTCAAAATGTTTTCGTGGTCGTCACGTTCTACAATTAGAACGAGTGACAACGTACTAACGACGAGCTGGACGTACTACGAACGGAACCGTCGTACTTCAATCCTACTAGGGACGTTTTAACAACGAGTGGAACTATCTGAGGACGTGTTGAGAACGAGGTAGAACTCATTGCAAACGGGTTTAAACTGATTAAGAACGTATTTAACACTGCTTATGAACGAGTTAGCAAAAATATAGCTATCACACCAAACAAGTTGCCACTGCGTTCTTCAAAACTGGTTATAAACTGTGTGCGAACGGAATCAACGTAGCTGCAACTTTCTAAGGTCTATTTACGAACTTTATGAACGTTCTCAGACGGGAATGTGATTTTAGAATTTTGAATCGATTCAAAATTCGATTGCGACCATACCGTTCTGTTATCAGGTCATGATGACCTTCTAGACTAAGGGACGCGTTCTACGGCGTTGCACACCGACGTGGTGCGACCTGGACGAACTGCGAACGAGATGGACGTATTGAAGACTGTTTACGAACGAAGAAGCTAATTATTTTAGACATATTTCCCGACCACAGCCAGATTGAGCCCGTTTTACGACGTTTTCGTAGGACTGGCAAGAACGGGTAAGAACGAGTTTGGTGTGATAGGGGGGTTAACAATCCATTAATTTTGTCCATCAACATCTAATATTTATCACCTAGGGTGTACTCTAAAAAGGTGGTTAAAATAGGGGATTTTGGTCTGTCCAGAGACATCTACTTGACGACCCATGATTTATCATTTGAATGTGTATGATTTCTACCATGATTTTGATATTTTGTTGTTTACAATCCATTAATTTTGTCCATCAACATCTAATATTTATCACCTAGGGTGTCCTCTAAAAAGGTGGTTAAAATAGGGGATTTTGGTCTGTCCAGAGACATCTACTCGGACAAGTACTACGTGGATGAAACTCTGTCTAGACCACTTCCTGTTAGGTGGATGGCGCCAGAGAGCCTACTGGACGGCAAATATAGCAGCATGTCTGATGTGGTAACATATTAATATATTAAGCAGATTCTCAGATTTTGAGAGGGACAAACTTTTTGAAACAACATTGGGTTTTGTGAAGACATACAATGCATGCATTTAATTTTATTTCCTAAATACATATAATAATATGATATATATATATATATAATATGCATGTATGGTTTGGAAAAGTGGATTTAACTGGGATAATGTGAAAAGATGCTTATTTTCTGAGCTTAATGAAAAGCTCTCCCTGGAATTTGATTTTTATTTCCCGAAAGACCATAATTTCATATGATCTAGACATGTACCGCATGTTTTGCCAAGTTGATAATAAAATGTCTCAACAATTTTAGTGGTCGTTTGGTGTGTTAATGTGGGAAGTACATACTAGAGGTGGAACTCCATATGCTGACATAGATTCCTACGCAATTAAGTATTTCATCACCAGTGGGCAACGACTGGAGAAGCCCCCACTAACCCCGGATGACGTGTAAGATTTTATGAGTACATTCGTTCTGTGCAATTGGGAATACAAATAAGCTGCGACACAGTTTGATAAAATAACATAAAATAACCCAGATCTTAAAATCTTACTCTTATCAATCATTTCACTAGGTATGCAATTATGTGGTACTGTTGGGATAAAGATTCGCATTCTCGGCCAACTTTTAAAGATTTAGTTGAAATGATTGGAATAATCTTACAAGAAGGCAGTTCTGGCTCAGGACCGTCATCTGTGAGAGCCGATGACCAAGACACACGATCTTCAACTCAACAGTCGAGGCCAGTTCACTGTTCACCGCAAGCTATCCAAATGGTTAACTTTGGGAAGCGACAACCAGATCGTCATAATCCTTCTAAGCCAAAACTAAATCGAAGAAAGGGAAACCCTCATGATTTACCAATAAGAGTACACAATAAAAACCAAGCCGATGTTTCAGAAAATAAAGGATTGGACACTTCCGGTTACATCCTTCCAAAATCCACATAATGCCATAAGAATGAACATTCGACCTATTTGCCTGTGGAAAAAATAATCACGCAGATTCCTTAATTATTGAGAGATTGATTTCAAAATTAGTAGGTGGAATTTTTTGGGTCCCTCTGCATTTAATCTATTAATACGTGTATATCTTAGGAAATTAATAAAATAAATAAAGGCCACATTTTTATATTTATGTCTCATATTATGGTTATGTTATGGTACCTTTAATCTTATTATAGTTTTATAATTCATACGATCCAAATGATATTTATTGAATAAGTACTGCAGTTATATGTGTTTCTGTGAATATACTTGTGCATCACAAAAAGTCCTACTCTGCAAATGCATAGCTAGTTTTCTGCTACATGTTTAAGATAATTTTGTTTAATCTTTCGATATTTGAAGCTAGAATGCATGACACTTAATCAGGACATATTTCTATGTGCATCAAAAATGCAATCATAGATTACAATGATCATTCCCGTAGAAATCTACGTGTCATTTCAATTTTCCCGTCATCAATGAAACACTATATGTAGCTGAACCAAAATGCCCTAATACGTCACTTCCGCTGTCCACCTGGACATCGACGCTAATACCTCGAAAAGTAACCTGACTATAATCTGATGTAGATTAATTCAAACCCCATATGGACAGGTACAGACGATGGGGGTAAGCGTTTCATAGTTCGTCACGAACTCCATATGTACCAAGTATTGTTACGAATTTTTGAATTTCGTGTCTGATAACGGCACTTACACAATATCTCTAATTTAAAGTAATTTTACTATGTATGTAACGCATCCGTATATATAAGTATGTTTTCACCATAAATACGGTACTTCTCATCAAAACAATTTGTTTCCTACGTGAAGGGTCCCTAATTATAATCAAATTGATTAATCTCAAAAACATTAATAAATTAGAACCCTGACAGATTTTTCAAAATAGTAGACCTATTTAAAAAAAAAATTCCCAGATATTCCCCAAATATCAACTAATAAAATAATAGTAAAATATAACAATTTCTTCTGGGATTCTTCGTCAACATTGTATGTCTTCCCATATAAATTAACTTTGCAAAGTTTGCAAAGATTTCACACTACTAACTCGACTAATATACGATAGATTAAGTACTGGATTTTGACATATATTAACTATGAATGCCTTGTTTATCCGAAGTTCCTGTCACATAATTCCCATATTTCTCAAAACAGGAAAGAAAACATAGCACTTTAATATCAAACAGGAAATAAAAACAATTTGACAACTAAAAATTGATTCAGGGCTGAAACTCCATTATGATTAGTTCAACTGTTGTAACATGACTGTTTCAGATATTTGACAGAGTGATGATATCAAAATAAAATTTATCTGAAAAAGTCATGACATGTGATTTACATTGTTGATGGTCTTAACATTTTCAAGTTTTCCCAAATTTGGTTATTTACTGACAACTCGCACACGACTAGCGATGTCATAATTTATTGAAAGGGTTAAGTTAATTTCGCATTATGATTCTAACTTAATATCATGGCAAACCAACATGTTATCTTATTAACACGGAAAGAAGCCGCTCTAGAATTTATCTCCTCTACAGCTGAAATATTATAGTCAGAATTAATTTCATCTTTCTTGAAGGTCATCTATTGAATTACTCTCTTTGTATCAAAACGGGATAATTGATCGGAACAGCACAAGAGAAGCGATCATTCGGATGAGAGAATTAAACTTATTAACTAGAATTTCGAAGAAAGTTATTTGTGATTCGTATAAGTTATTGACGAACAACAGGGTTGCAAATTGAACAATATATTGTTAAAGAATTGATTGTGAAACACACGCAGCTTATAAGCGACAGTTGGCCGAGAAGCTACGTGCAAAGAGGTATGGAATATTTGCTGAACATCTCGCTCATTTCTGATGTTTTGTTTAAAAACCTGTATGAGGACGATCTCTCTGCCGAAGGGGATATAGGACTGACATTTCTGGATTACGAAAGTACTGAAGAAAATAGTTTATTTGAGAAGTTTCCCAACGATTACGAAACTACTTTTGACAAGGTAAAAGTAGTTGGTTTTACATAGTTAATGCCTCAGTCACATTTGATCTACGGCAACCATAGCTCCGCTATACGGCAGCCGTAGCTTCCCGAAATAGAGAGAAAAATGTAGAATAAAATATAGGAATGGGCTTTGCGATGAAGATTTTCTATATCGATTTTTTGAAGCTACGGCCGCCGTACGTTCGTCGTATCTAGCAAATGTGACTGAGGCTTAATTTTAAATATATTTCTATCGTCATTTTAACAGTTCCACTTACCATTGAACTTTCAAAACTTCAGTGGCATCTTTCATACAGGTTGTCCCAAAAGATTGTACCTAGACAAAAATGAAATTACTCTATGGGTGATGTAGGATTATTCTTGCAATTTAGCCGTAAGACAGACAAGTCAATATCTGAAACTTTCATTTGGTAACTTTTCTTAATTTTAGAGAAAAACTTGTTTTAGAACCATCAAACTTTTTTAACTCTGTAAGTGATGAGGGGAATTTGGTAACCTGACAGACAATCTAAAAGTAGTAATTTGAATTCCTTTTCAAGAGTATAACATTTTGCTTCTAATTTCTCCATTGGACAACTTTTGAACATGCTGTATATCTTACTGAAATTTTATTGAACCTTTCGTATTAAGCTTCTATTTAATGGTGATGCTACACGTGCAGCTAAAATGATACTTAATTTCTGAAGACAAGCTCGCCATGTTTTCTCCATTAGCCACACATCTTTTTAATATAATTATTTTTCAAATCCGCATTGATGTAAACGAAGGTATATAGTCCCCTTGGGATCGTTGTCTCATCTTACGTATGGCCCTAACTGCATGTATAGCCCCATGCAAAGTCTGAAAATATGTTTTATCATTCCTATTCATTAGTTTTGTTTTGTTGTTTTATTTTTAAAGATCTCCTATTTTTCAAAAACAATTTCTATAATCATCAAATATTCCACTATACTTTGCAAAGCACGCTGTATTTTCAAAACCATTGCGAAGATTAAACAATTATTTCAATAATGAAATGACATATCTAATTTCAAATGTTTTAGCATATTAGTATTAAAGAATTGCACCCTAAGTGACATCATCGTGATGTCACTTCGGGTGCTATTTTCAAAAAAACTTTTATTCTATGTCAATCTAAATAATACTGTTCCCTTTGTTCCTATAAAAACTAAAATTTTGAAATGTATTTTTCTCTGAACCACGTTCTTACATGGATTAGTTTATTGCTTGGTAGATAGGTTTGACCTTAATTAGTTATAAATAAATTTACAGTTTTTCGAACAAAAAGTCCTGCAAAAAACACTTGATTAAAAAAAGTTTCACATATCACATTTTGATAACGTTGGATAAGACTAGCTACAATATAAGCCAAAGTGCTTTAAACTTAAAATGGGGTCATTAAATGATGTAGTATCGTATTGAGATTCGAGAGAGAATTTTTAAAAATAATCATTATCTCTGAAGAATCGATAGAATCATCGATCGTAATATCTCACTTTTGTTACGTAACCCTACTATCACACCAAACAAGTTCTTACTACGTTCTCGAAAACGGGCTTAAACTGTGCACGAACGGATTTGACGTACAAAGAACCCACTAAGAACCGTTTGGGATCTGTTTACAAACTTCATGAAACTACTAGAACTAGTAGGTCCTCTAGAACTTACAGCATGCTCAAAATGTTCTGGTAATCGTCAAAACGTTGCCGAATCGGTTTTAAACTGTGTGCGAACTGAATGAACGTAGCTACAACGTTCTACGGTCTGTTTACGAACTTCAATGTAGGAATGGTATAATTAAATTGGCAATGAACTCACAATTTTTTCACTTGGCACCTTTTAAGGTGGATCCCGGCTATGGTATTAATGGTTGAGAAATAGGGATCGAAACCAGCCATAGTTTTCTCCTGATGACCATTGTGAATTGTTGTGTTTTATGGATTATGATGACGGCTTTCCGAACGGATGTTGACCCTTTGAATTGCCTATGGACTGGATTTTATCTATCCCACATCATTTGAGACTGAATACTCTATCTTTTATGAGTACTAGTATCTACAACTATTTTTGATGTTATGAGTATTGGCTATCAATTTTTTCAATTTTTCTTCAACATGTATTGTAATGACTTCAGTATGAATGAAATGTCCCTTGGTGTTCTGGTCCTAATTGTGATATTGGTTCTCGATTGGAGGGGGGAGAGGGATGTTAGACATTGTTTCTTTTCACGTTAGATCATGGTTTTGGGATATATAGGGTCTACTTTTCTAATGACAGATTTACACTTACAGTTTGCTTTTCTTGTTGGGTTTCTTTAAAGTTTTTAGTCACCCTTCCCTTTGGCATTTGTGCTTATATATTCATGGACTTTCCCGGACGGGGAATGTGATTTAGAATTTTGAATCGATTCAAAATTCGATGGCGACCATACCGTTTTGTAATCAGGTCATGATGACCTTCTAGACTAAGGGATGCGTTATACGACGTTGCACACCAACGTGGTGCGACCTGAACGAACTGCGAACGAGATGGACGTATTGAAGACTGTTTACGAACGAAGAAGCTAATTATTTTAGACATATTTCCCGACCACAGCCAGATTGAGCCCGTTTTACGACGTTTTCGTAGGACTGGCAAGAACAGGTAAGAACTAGTTGGTGTGATAGGGGGTAAACGGAACTTCAAAAACGGTAAAGGTTACTTTCAACCCGATTCTGCCTACAAGTCCGAGATAAGGAAAAATCGTACCTTCGAGGTTCTGACATTTTGTTACCGAAACGGATCCGCTTCGGTAACTAGTTTGAAGAGCACAGTAAATAATAAATGTATTTTCTTCAATAACAACATCATTTTAAGTATGGTAAAGGACAGATCTATAGGGAAATCATTGTTCCACTTGTTGCTTGCAAATATGTCACCTTACCTATAGTATATCTGATACTTGACTTTGATATGGAGGGTCGTTCCTTAAATTATTTATAGAAATTACAAATCATGTTTAACTCAAATCTTGGCCCAATATGCGATGTAGCGATTGGCGCGTTTAAATGAATGCAAAATGCCTGATTGATGAAATTAATAGCTAGATTATCATTAAAAATGACATACACGTAAACATTTCATTTCGGTTATATGCGTCTTAAATCCAAAATAAACTGTAAGCAGTTTAATGTCCATGATAACTTATTAAATTGTAAAGAAGGCCTAAGCTTCAGATGTTCCAGTTGGTCCACATAACTACGAACAGAACACCAGAATTTCTTAAAACTATATTTTTTCAATGGGAAATAGGTTTACACTTCGCCGGATTATGGAAAATAGGTTTGACAGGGAATTACAAGAGCTTAACATTCTGAAGTCAAACATTCGAAGTCATTATGATACGTAACAACTATAATTATTATTCCAAAAGGTAAATCTTGCAAATAATCAATAAGAGTCGAGGGTTCCAGTAAATCAGAATGATTCGATAAAAACAAAATTCATTTTGCCTACAACCAAGCACTCGAAGATTGAATCGAATCATTTATTTACCTCAAATGGTTCTTTGTTAAGGCCAGGGCTACATGTTAGTGGAAATGTAGGGGACGATCAAATTAATAAGAACACGAGCTTGTCTTGATAGAGTCTTCTATAACAACAAATAAATCATCAGTTGACTCATAATATGTCTTAAAACCTCTATAATCCAGACAAAACCTAAGTTATTTCTTAAATGCGTGACTTCTATTAAATTACGTAACGTTAGTACAGGCGGGTTAAGACGATTTCATAGATGTAGTAGAAATTATAGAAATTGGCTTTTTGGCGGCTTTTGCTCATCATTCTTCGGCTTGTCAGGATTGAATTGGCTAAAAGCAACATGAAATTAGTTTTCACCTTCCTACTTAGATCTCGGATCCAATCAATCAAGTAAATCAACCATTGAGTCGAAATAAATATAAAACCTTTCGTACAATTGGTCACTCGAATTTACATTATCTAATTAATCGTGTATCTTATTTGATTATTGCAGGATTTAGAGCACCATTGTACAATGGCGAGATTGCTACGAGGCTTGTTTACTTATGGATCCTCTAATGAAAGCGATTCATCATCCCTGCCTGGGACGAACATGAACCTTACGTGCAACTTCTCGTTTGGGAATCCCGGAAATTACTCCTTCACTCGTGACTTTTCCGTCGCAGACCCTCTCGTGTTAAAGATCGGGCGATTGTTTTACAGTTATATGACACCTGTAATTATCTTGATAGGGCTTGTTGGAAACAGTTTATCATTGAAGGTATTCACTTCAAGTAGGATGCGAAAGCAGTCGTCTAGTTTCTACTTGTCAAGCCTAAGTGCGAGTGATCTAATGATATTGCTGTTTTATGTTTTTCCCAGCTGGTTAAAGGAAGCCATACCTTTCATCCTGAGCAACAGGCATACTTCAACAGATATTTTAGGTTACGAAGGTGTGTGCCATACATTTGTCTACTTGGCGTATGTCTTTAGGTTCATATCAGTGTGGCTGATTACAATTTTCACTATTGAGCGTTATATCGGAATATGCCATCCGCTCAGGAGACGCGAGATTTGCACACGGGCATGCGCAAAACGAGGTATAGTCTCCCTCGTTCTCGCTTCTCTCACACTCTTCCTCGTAAAACCCTTCATCAGTGGCATCTTTGAAACAGTTCCAGGGAGCGGAGTTAGAAAGTGCACCAGTAATCCACGATTCAAATACCCCTCGTTTGTTTTTGATAGCTCGTTCGCTGTTCTGACGACACTTGTGCCATTTATCGTAATAGTGTGCTTGAACACAGTCATCGTGAAGAAGGTCTTACAGCATAAGCGTCAACAGAAGATTGATGGCATAAAGAAAGAAAATACAATAAAGATTGAATTTACGTTCATTCTTCTTGCCATATCAACGTGTTTTATTACATTAAATCTTCCCTATTTCGTCACCTGGTGTCGGAAGTTTGAACTCTCAGAATTTATAAGCAAGGAGACATTTTCTTTAATAACTAAGCTCGACACGTACAAAAGAATACAAGGCATGGTTCTCATAACACAAACAATATTCTATATGAACTATTGTGCAAATTTTTTTCTATATTCACTCACTGGCAGGTATTTCAGACGGGAGCTGAGGAATTTGTTTTTGTCTCTGCGACGCTCCCCTTCCACACGGCGTTCTAGTAGATCGTCGTACACGCATACGTTTTCCAGGATAAGTCAATCATCAAAGGCCTCTACAAAGCATACCTGGGTCTAAAATGCTTAGTGGATTTGGTGCTAGTTTGTCATGATGCAGTAAAACCCATCTAAGGAGAACACTCTAAGGACCAGTGTTCAAGTTTGGAGGTTGACTTTACAACATGTGAGCCGATAGATAGTTAAAAACTAATCTTTGATAATAACACTTTATAATTAAATCCCAACGGGGTATATTTGAGATACTGTATATTTGAAGTACAGCTTGGTTCTTGTTTAAGTATACCTTGGAAGTTCGTCATTCTTGATGGGCTTTGACTTCAAACGCTTCAAGGAAGCATACGTGTGGCTGAAACGTAATTAAGAACAAAATCATGAGACTCTGGCTATGGTCAGACTCTGGCTATATGGATAACATTGCTGACGAGCACCAACATATACATGCCGGAGTCACGATATCTTTGAATTAGAATAGAAGATATCATTAAGCATTGTCTAAACGATAATCACCCTGATCAAGTACTTCATAATTACAGCTTACTTAAAACTCTTTATATTTTTGCTTTCCGGAGCGTCTCAATCGAGATGATAATGGATGACGTCCGGCCATAAACCTCCACCCCCTGAGTTTAATAGTAGTGCGATCTGACACTTGCTTTTGAGAGCTAACGATAAAAACAAATGAGCATGTTATTTTACGATGCAAATAATTTTGTCGTATCAATTCACAAAGTGGTAAATAAATTAATTTCTCATATTCAGAAAGATATACGTCCAGCAAAATCGTTTGTGCCTGTAATTTCATTGCTTTATCTTTTCAGTCGAAAATGATTGCTGATCTAATAAAAATGTTAAGATGTACCATTCAAGACATTGACCAAGTCAAATATTCAATCAAGTAGATTTTATTCTGAAGTCTACTTATCTTCGGGAACAAATATTCTAATACTCATTGCATCTTTGTCTTATAGGGGGATGAATATGCCATGTCTATGACGAGACAGAACAAATGATCTTTAGGCCGCCACATCTACTCACCATGTCCTTACAATTAAGATGTGTTTATAGTTTATGGGAGCCTATCTAGCCATTTAAAAGCATTCCTACTCATGCCCTCAAACAATTTATTTATGTTTGATTATTTTTTATTTTGGATATGTGGTGTATTTACTGGTAAATGTCCATTTATGAAGGCGGAACAGTTCTTCACATTTCATGATTACATCAATAAACTAATAGTTTTATCCTGGTGATTTCCATCGACAATGACATTTCAACCATGACAGTTCCAGCCAGGGCCGGTATTTAATCAAGTAATTGTCTCGAGTGCATTAGTTCTTTTTGTAAGCAACAACAAGCGCTCGAAACTGGAGTTGAACCCAGGATTAGCGCTTGCAGTGACTACACTTCAATGTATCTAACCAAACACAATGTTATGTAGGGGCAAAACGGAAACGGTGCAAAATAGGGTATTCTTTTTTTCAAGCGTTTGTAAACATGGGGGAGTGGGCGTTTTGTCAATGTCGTCACTATAGTTCCCGTTGTCAGACGACATCTTATGAATTTGCAGAGACCAGAAACGCATAAGACGATCTTAGAGATAAATTCGGATTAATTTGATCAAACATATCACTTTCAACAAATTATTTGTGAATCAGAGGGTACTATTCGGAGTACAAATTCGTATATTTTAACATGTTGTTTATACAGAGTGGTCCAAAAAATCACTCACACTTTTGACAACGTAGCATTTTCTAACGACAGGAAGATTTCCTATTTTTTTGATAGGCCTGTCCTACATAATTATCAAACATATGATGTAGAGAAATTGACTGGTGAAAGTTAGGTCATAATGGTGATACATATAGGTTATTTACTGGGAGGGATTGAATATGGGTTTATTCCGAGGGACAATATGATATTGACCGAAGGGTGACCGAGCGACCGAGTGTCAATATCATATTTCCCAAGGTCTATATCATATTTTCCGAGGAATGAAACCCATATTCAATCCCGACCAGAAATAACCTATTTATTCCATAATACATTCCTCTAAAATGTTACATTTTGAAAATGCTTTTATCAATTAGCTAAGGTTAGAAATAACAGGAAAACCAAAAATAGGTTAATACGTTCCAATACGATTTTTCCCGGGGACAATACGATTTTTTCATGTAATACGCTCCATTACGATTTTTACCGGGGACAATATGATTTTTCCATGTAATACGATTTAATATGATTTTTATTCCTTCATTTTTCCTGGGAAAACAGTAGTATTTTGGAATAATGGGCCGTACTGGTGTGAGAATGCTAATAAACAATGTCCTGTTAACATGGACTGATACATTGAAGTTATGAAAAGAAAATTCATCCTGGCATTTGTGCGAAAGTGAGGGGTTGACATGGATACTGTTACTTGATTACCTCCATCATCCCTTTCCTGAAGACCGACTCATCTCCTATTGTATGGATCACACCTGTACTGCACATTCACAAGACATATTCTCAATCCCAAAGTTTTTTGGCGGGGATACTTTAAAGGCAGGATGCAAACAACTATTGATAAGCTAAAGAATATTAAAACAAAGATCGGGAGAATTCCTTATGGCAACGTGGACAGGGACATTACGATGTGTGCAGGAGCTTGGATTGAGCATATTACAAACTATTGGTCTTTGCTCACATTATGGTATGAAAATGAAACACAAAACGTATATATCTTTTAGGACAGGTCTCGGCCATCGGGCAGATATATTATATTAGCCTCGGGATAATCCCAATATCTATGGACCGGGATGTCCCGAATTACCCTGGCTAACCCATCATTAAAAAGATAAAAATGACACAATTCTAAATGCCGAGTGTACTCATTTTTTGGGACAGCCTGTCTTTTCAGTTCTTTCCAACACGATTGGTCGTCACAGCATATTTGTCAAACCCGGAAATTTTGGGTGAATTAACTTTCAAAAATTGCGAAAACATTAGGGCAGAATCAGATGACCAAATTGCAAGCAACATGTACAAATGAACTACTGATATATTTCTTATAATCTCAAATATGAGTTCATAAATCTGGCCGAAAAGTAAGTTTGCTCAAGTAAACTACGGTATACACTATGGGGATTTTTAGAAAATAGATCTAGACGTGACAAGGAAAGTGTGAGTCCAAAATATTTTAATAAAACAATTCTTGCCAAAAGTAACCATATCAATCAATTTGTTGAAATAAAAATCACACTTTTTTGGCTAATTACATTTTGATTGCGATATCATATATTAATCAGATAGTAGCCCCGTGTGATATTAGATAGGTACAATACCTGTGCACGCTTTTCCGGACTAGAGAAACGAGTGAAAACGCCCAAAGCAATTCGCATTCAATTGTTATTAATAATATTTGTTAGGATGTTGAAATGTCCCAATTTAACCATCCCTTTTATGTCATATTACTTATGTTATGTAGTTGTATTGGTTCACTTCCTTTTACCAAACTAGTCACTTCGTCATTATGTTGGTGACGCTATGTATTGTCACCCTCATAGGGGCTCTTCGGATTAACGATATACATGGATTGCCAATGAAAGGTAAGTAAAAATTTAGATTATATTTAGTAATTACCACCATTGTTAATAGATATTGAATATTTCTCAAATCATCATTCCGATTCTGATGTGCTTTCAATTTATAACGAAATGAGCTTTTATTTTTTCAACGATTGACAGTAAAAATAATATGGCTAGGATAAGTGAGACATGGCCTACCCCGAAATCGAGAAATTCCGCAGTCGACTCGAAGTTCAAGGTCGGTCTCTGATGTATCCCTTTTAACCTAATCTTTACGTCCTTTTCATTTTAATTTCTATTGGCCATAGAAATAGAAGTTTAGAGCACACGGTTAACGTTGCAAATGTGACCGGGGCACAAGTTAGACATATTTCAAATCCAAATAGTTTATTCATTTCTTAGAAATTAGGCAGCCATAATCTCATCGTGAATCTACTCACCCATTTTAAAAACCTTTTTGTCAAGTAAAAAAATTGTCGTTATTCCTTATAATAAAGTATGATTCGCCAGCATTTACCTTACAGATTGCGATGTGGCGGGAGAGTATATCCGGGATGTTACCAGTATCTGTTCTTACTACGTATGCACCCCAGAGGGATCCTTGACCAACGTCAAGCCACAAAAGATGTACTGTGGCCCCAACACTGGTGTTCCCCAAACCTTCACCAATGGATACGAGGGATCACCTTGTACGGTTCATGGGCAAGGATGTGACAACGCGCAAAGTACAGTACTTTTCCATTAGTGTAAAACTTTAATTGATTCTGTTCAAATATGGTCCCCCTCCTTTGATTAATAAAATGACTTGATTACAATTCAATCAAGACAAGGAAGGCCCTTTTAAAGGGGGAATCATTCAAATAATGATCTTTTAAGCACCATTTAAAGCTAAAGTAGGAGTAGTTATTGTATAAAGAACACTTTCTCTAACCATGATAACTATCGAGCCATCGTTAACATATTACTGGATTTAATATCTCAGAGTGTAGGAGAGTTTCCAAAGAAAAATCGAATTGTGTTTCTGTAGTTAAAATCAGGCGACATTTTTCTTTTCTCAAAAACAGAGATGTCAATGTTTCAGGTTTCAGGGACCAGTTGATGGCTGGTGTCTCAAACATGCGGCGTCCCGTCACAGAAGCTCCAAGAGATATCCCATACCATATCCGTCAACAGATCTATGCCCAGAGTGCTCGCCAGGATTGGTCTCAGGCAGAGCCAGAACCAGAGCCCGAACCAATGATGGATGAATTCGGACGTTACATCGACGAACCTAAAGCTGAGCCAGTTGATGCATTTGGACGCTACATCAACGAACCTAAAGCTGAGCCAGAGGATGCATTTGGGCGACTCATCAATGACAACAGTTATAGAATGGTAGAGGAACCAGTTGCAGAGCCAGAGAATAGCAGAGATTCGATGTACTCTAACTACATGGAGAACAGCAAGCAGGGCATGTATATGTACAGCAAGGAAAACAAGGATGCCGCCTACAGACCTATGACGACACCACCTCCCCGTAAACCCACATCCCCTCCCCCTAGACAAAATGAAAGATCTCATAACTCCAGAGCAGTTGTTGGTGAGTTCGTAAATCAATCACATGAAATGATAAAGAGTTTTGAGTCATTACGTCTGTATGATTGCCATTGATGATTATCTATTTTTTCATTCAGCATCATTTAACAACTCATTTGTGTTCGGGGGTACTGAACAAGCCGTATCAACACTCAACGCCTGTATCTTGGCATGTGAGACAACTGCTGGCTGCGTAGCACTCGACTTCAACAGCAACAGCAATGGATGCTGGCTGCATTTTGACATTCCGAACGCATGTAACAACCTCATGAGCAAATCTGGCTGCGCCCATTACAGATTGATTGACTGCAGTAAGTACTGATAGATACTGTATATAACTGTACTAATACTTTACAATCAAGATGAGTAAATGCAAGAATCAACTTTTTAAAAAGTTTAGACATTCACTTAGATTTTGAAAAGGATTTTCTTAAAATGGAGTTCGGAAGTCCATTCCATGTGAAAAGTGCTGGGCTAACGTGAATGAAATCACCAATTATTTCAGCATTTGTTCCTGAGGCTAGCTCAACATACGCCGGAAACCACATCTTCGGCGGCACTGCAAACTCTGCCACAACTCTTGCCGGGTGTCTGGCCGCATGTACCGGCACATGCACAGCCATTGATTTCAACTCAAACACAGGGGGCTGTTGGACTCACACTGCTACTACTGCATGCAACGCATTCAGCGCAAAGGCTGGATGTACGCATTATAAGAGGTCCCCTTGTACCACAGGTGAATGCCTCCTTAATTAGCTACAATTATCTCTTCATTTAATTAATGTTGACAGACATTCCAACATTGTCATTGCAAACTGTAATCTAAAGTATATCTATCCCATCTATTTTAGCTTTAACATTCCTGGGTTCATTTGCTCTCGGAGGAACCAAGATGTTGAGAATCAAGGACCTTACCAATTGTTTGAACTTCTGTGTGGCACCAGACTGCCTGGCCATTGATTTCAACTCTATTACTAACAGTTGTTTCCATCATTCCTCTGCTAGCTCTTGTGGCACACTCTTCAGCTCCGATGGTATAGCACATTACAAGAAGGTCGACTGTGCAACAGGTACGTACATGAACATATTCGTTTAAGTATAGTATTATGATAAGTCATGTTTTGAAGGATAAGGAACACTTCATCTCTCTGCATTGACAAAATAGCAATCCTTCTGTTTTTAATCAAAGATCTGATGCTCAAGGAGTGATGTTAGAATCTTAAATACTAGATAGTATACTATTACTCACATTTTGAAACAGTATGTGCGGTCTCTAATTACCGAGCTTTGTTGTAGGGGTCACAATTGCATCACCCACAACTGTCACGGTAGCGCCAACCACATCGACCACCACTGCCACAACAATCTCCACTGTTTCAACAACAGCCACCCCGACTACAACCGCCACTCTATTCTACAATCAGTTGGTGTTCGGGGGCACCCTCCAGACTGCCTACGACAACGTTGATGCCTGCCTTTTGGCCTGTTTCCTTGACAGCACATGTGTGGCTATTGATTTCGACATAAGGGTTAATACATGTTATTTCCACACAAATGCATCTGCATGTGGAACATTGAATTCATTGACCGGCGTTAGCCATTACAGATTCATCAATTGCACTGATGGATCTAGTTCATCCGTAACAGTCAGCGTGGGGGGTACGACAACAGCCGTTCCCGCGGGTGTCATCGGGGGTGTCTCCGTATACCCTGGAAGTTTGATATTCGGAGGAACCCAGTCACTTACAAATGTGACAGCCACCGAGTGTATCAACTACTGTCAATCTACGTTAGCAGGGTGTCTTGCAATTGACTACAACAAGAATGACATGTCCTGTTGGACACACGATTTCAACACAGCTTGTAATGTACTTGGGTCAATCAGCAACATCGATCACTATAAATTTTCGTCGTGCCCCGGTTATACAGATGGGGCAACTGTAACTAATACTCCAACTGTGACATCAACCACGGCTGCAGCTACAACTACAGTTGAAACATTCACTCAATGTGGAGTTCAATCCATTAGGTCAGCTTATGATGGCATTAGGATTGTCGGAGGGGTTGAGGCAACGCCCAACAGTTGGCCCTGGCAGGTAGACCTCCTGCTCCTTGGAGCACATTTTTGTGGAGCAACCCTGATCAGTGACACTTGGATCCTCACTGCCGCCCATTGTGTCTTCGAGTAAGTTATTATTAGTAACACCTGATCTATATTCATTTTTGTATTGCAAGTCTCTCGCTATATATTTTCACATGTTGTAAAAATGATAGCTTATCTTGTTTAGAATGTACGCCATAAATGAGTACATTTGGAGATGCTAGTATTTGGTGAAATGAAGACGATGTGAGTTTTATTCATGACTGGATGAAGATCATGCCATGAGTAAAACATGATGTTCTTTATTCCTGCGTTCCAACGTAAGAACAAAAAGTGTTCCAACATCACAACCGAGGGGAGTCGAGTGAACGAAGATGACTACTTGGACTGCTGAGCATTTTATGTGACTCGTTTTATCAATGTTCTTCCAGCGCACAGATTACATCCTTCTACACTGCTGTTCTCGGCCAGCATGATCAGAACTCGGTCTCCGGTAACGAAGTCACCAGAGGTATCTCCCAGATCATTATCCATGAGAATTACAATCCAACGAGTGGAAACGCGTTCGATTTCGACGTTGCTGTTCTGAGGCTCTCTGAATCCGTTACGCTGTCTTCAAGAATCAAAACGTGTTGTCTTGCGTCCGCCACTCCCGCAGCAGGGACTTCATGTACTGTTACTGGCTGGGGAAACACAGAAGGTTGGTAGAAATGGTAACTTTGAGTCCGTGGTAAGGAAACACACACAGACGTTTACAATGATACGCATTCTTAACAATCATCGCATTTTCACATTACCGTGACCATGTCACCATTTTAATGTTTGAGTCTGTTTGAGTGAAACGAATCAATGGATAAATCATTTTTGTTAGATTTCGGAGGCACAATCCTCATTCCAAGGGTATTTCAATGCTTTCTTTAGCTGCTATAGCAGTGAAGTCCGATCTTAAATAATGTGATGGCACATGCTTTGATTCCGATATCAAGGGTCCTTTCTTGTGTTTCAGGTACTGGGGACAACACCAAACTCAACCAGGTTGCAGTTCCCCTTTACGATAATAGTGTGTGCAACGATAACTTCCATTACGGTGGCCTCATTACCAATAACATGGTCTGTGCTGGATTTGACATCGGTGGAAAGGATTCTTGCCAAGTAAGACATACATGTATCACCGGTGATCCTGAGAAATGATGCAAAGGCAGACTCAACATTTATCAAATATATAATAGTGTTTTTTCCAAATGCTGTTTAATAAGTATATGAAGTCTCGGATGGAGTGAACAAATAATGCCCAACGTTAAATATGACATCGTCTTTTCATACATTTCGTCAAGATGAATTTCGAAAATAATTATTTCTCAAATTCATATGATGTGCATACGTCTGTGTTTCAGGGCGACTCGGGTGGCCCTCTGGTGTGCGAAAGCTCTGGTGTCTACTCTTTGGTTGGAGTAGTATCATGGGGATCTGGTTGTGCTGAACAATTCAAACCAGGCGTCTACACTCGTGTGTCTGAAGTCAGGTCATGGGTTACCGGCAAAACTGGTGTGGTTTAAACAATATTACACAGGACACTATTTATTCCGATTATTTATAAAATGAAATGTAAAATGAAATATCAATATGTAGCAGTATAACTAGGCCCCTTTATGCTGGAATGCTTTTGCTTTAAATTGTACTCCTCATCGGTTCGCTGTTTACACCAATTGCAATGTTTTTTTTATGAATATACGTTGTGCAAGACGTTTTCACTTATTTCTGTTTTATTCATTTTCATTTGAGATTCGTACAACTTACGATTCTTAAGATTATTTTTTTTATAAATGACTTATTTGTGTTAATGCTGTGACATGTTTATTGTAAATCAGACAATAAATTTTAATTTATTGAACATTACAGTCTTAAAAATTTATTTTTATAGCCTACTTTTTACCATAATTTGAATTTTAGAAGCTTAAATATATTTGTCTTGGAACAAAGAGAACTAAAGAAACTTAGATATTGACAACCCGTTTAATGAAAGGTTTGCATATTACGAGAACAATGGTACAATGTTTATGGAACACTACACTAGAATAGTATAGACAGATAGAGGTGACCAAATATTTTGTCACAGGATATCAATGGCTTTGAGCATGTGCAACGAAATCTGCGTTTTATTGATTGTCTCATTATTTTGTTTAAAAACAAATTGGTAATTATAGAGTGTTATCAAAGTCAATGGAAAGAAACAAATTCACAACAAATTCACCAGAACAGTTTATTATAGTGAAGTATATACCAATAATCATACCTCGTCAAATCTGAACAAACGAGAGTATATATGCTTAGTGTATATTGCTTAGTGAAAAATAAATGATGCCCTTTTGTCCTAAAGTTCTAATATACCATTTGAAAGTTGAGAGTGTCAGATTTGGGGATCTAGCCTGCTTATGAAGATTCACTTGTCTCAAAGTTGAACTGAACCATTGAAAAACTACTGCTTCAAAGAGGTCAACATTTAATTGATTTTCTGAAAAGACCATTTGAGGTCAAAAGTCCAAATCCCCATTTTCCATGTTGAAAATTGGCCCCTGTTCATGAAAGTATTATTTGATCAAATTTGTAACATGCAAACTTTCGTAATGTTACTATATTTTTACTCCATTTCCGTACTCCTAATGATACATGTGTATCTAAATTCCCTTCGACAAATAATATAGCGTCTTTGTTTGACCCTCATTTGCTCAACTAGATCTACGTAATCCCAAAAGAAAAGATCCACAAAACTGCACAATATTGAAATTCTTTCTAGAGCATTCTGAGAGTCATCACATACACATGCATCTCCTTTTCATAAAGGGAAATAAAGATATGCATAGACACATACATACATCACATCTCTATATAAAGTCTATAGTTCAAAATGAAAAAATATATTGCCATGGCAATTTGAATATATCTGGTCAGTAACGACTTTATTTCATGTTTACTTAGACTTTGTCATCTCTGAATAATCTATAACAAGGACAATATAGAATGAAATATATCCTATTTGACTAAACGCTCATGTCAAGACTTGCATTTACAAAATATGATTTGCAGTCTGTGTATTCATAACTAACAGGATATTCATACCTGCCAACCTAAGACCAAAATTTTGCGGTAGATTTTTTTAAAATTGCTGTATTTTTGCGGTAGATTTTTTCAAAATACGGTAGTTTTTGCGGTATTTTTCAACAAAATTGCGGTAGTTTTTGCGGTAGATTTTAGAAAAAACGGTAGTTTTTGCGGTAGTTTTAAAAAAAGGTAGTTTTTACGGTAGATTTATAAAATAAACGGTAGTTTTTGCGGTAGATTTTAAAAAAATACTGTAGTTTCAGAGGTTTGGGGTAGATTTTTGAAAAGAATGTAATTTTACGGTAGAAATTCGAAAAAAGCGGTAGTTTTGCGGAAGATTTAGAAAAATGCGGTAGTTTTACGGTAGATTTTAAAAAATGCAGTAGTTTTTACGGTAGTTTTTTGAAAAACCGGTAGTTTTGCGAAAGATTCTGAAAAAATGCGGTAGTTTTACGGTAGATTTTGAAAAAATGCGGTAGTTTTCACGGTAGTTTTTTGAAAAAGCGGTAGTTTTGCGGAAGATTCTGAAAATTGCTGTAGTTTTTACGGTAATTTTCTGAAAAACCGGTACTTTTGCGGAAGATTTGCCAAAAATGCGGTAGTTTTACGGTAGATTTTGAAAATTGCGGTAGTTTTTACGGTAATTTTTTGAAAAACCGGTACTTTTGCGGAAGATTTGCCAAAACTGCGGTACTTTTCGGTAAATTTGGAAAAAATGCGGGAGTTTTTGCGGTACATTTTAAAATAACTAGTTTTGTGGAAGAATTTGACCTACCCCACATGATTTTATGTGCAATATGTCATTAATTATGTGGGGTAAGTCACTATATGTCCGTGCTATTTGGTACCAATGAAACATTTACTGAAATACAAAATATGGATTTTACACGTTTTTACTCACCATCTTAGATGATCTATCACTTTAACGAATTGAAATGACAGACATAATGTTCATATAACATTGAAATCATATGGTATTGAAAATTGATTTGTTTACTCGCAAGTCTCTCATGATATCAATGACTTCAATTTTTCAGCATTTCCCAACAATAACGGGAAATTTTCCGGTAGTTTGAACAAGAATACTGTTGATTTTAGCAGAAATACGGTAGATTTTCGAAAATTTACGGTAGATTTTCGAAAATGTACGGTAGATTTTCGAAAATTTACGGTAGATTTTCAAAAATTTACGGTAGATTTTACGGCCGTTCTCATGGAAGAAACGAGTTTTTAAAAAATAAATCTACGGTACATTTCGAAAAAAATACGGTAGATTTTTTTACGGGCGTTTTTACGGGAAAAACATGGTATTTTTTTACGGAAGTTTGTCATTCTTTTACGGAAAAATGAAAAATTTACGGTAGATTCCCGTAAAAATACGGTAGGTTGGCAGGTATGATATTCAAAGAAATACATCATCTATAATTAATCTATTGAAAATACAGACAGTGATATACGACAAGTCAAAGAAATAGATTTAATAAAGTAATAAATTTCATAAAAACGCCAATCAAAGTCCAACTTTTACTAACAGGAACGTCAATCAATCAAGCTAAGTAATATAGCGCATATGCAAAATTCGTAGGTGCACCTGGTTTTACTGAGAATATAAAGTTTTTATAGCCATAATATTTAGCATGTATAAGTTAACTTAAACATGTGAATAACGTTTTGATTGTAAAATGCAAGTCAGGCGGGCAAGAATGTTCATTCGAGTAGTTCGGATATCGTGCTGTGATCAACGTTTTCCATCTTCAATTATAATCTCTTGGCTGATTATGGTTCGATTTCAAGTTTAATTTTGACTTAGCCTATAACGAAGTACGTTATCGTCTACTACAATGACATGAAGCTAACCTCAAGCTGAACAGTTAACATGCTTCTTGAAAATGCGAGTGGTTTTATGAGAACCCTTCTTCAAATCACTTTTTTGCTACGTTTCACGTTTGATTTTATACGACGGGTGTCATCGTCAAAAAGAAATGACATAATTGAAGAGGATTTTCTAATCTCGTCTGTCACGATTGAACAACTTTGGTCTTGTATTTAAGACATTTCTATAATTCTAGCCAAAGATATATATACGGTACTGATTACTGCCTGTCATAGCATCGTGAATCGGATCCAGAGGTTGACAGGGAAAATTGTGTACCTTCATTGCAAACCTCATTTAACATTATTATCGATCTGACCAGTCAAGGTAAGAAGTATGTGGTTCAGGTAAGCAGCACAATGAAGTTAAGGTGTACAACAAAAGTTTACAATTTGCCCATTCAGTCTTAGAGGTAACCAAAAACCAAGTGAAATCTCCTGTTAAGGTCCCCTATTGCAACTACATTCTGTATTTGGGATTGATTTATTTTAGATATACATGTACTCAGTAACATATTTCTACTGTTTAAGGCTTAATCATTAATCAACCAGTGTCTTTCTGGGGGAAAATGAGAATTGACTTAACATGGGGATATACAACATTGACTTAACATGGAGATATGCAACCTTGACTTAACATGGAGATATGCAACCTTGACTTAACATGAGGATATACAACATTGACTTAACATGGGGATATACAACATTGAGTTAACATGGGGATATACAACATTGACTTAACATGGAGATATGCAACCTTGACTTAACATGAGGATATACAACATTGACTTAACATGGGGATATACAACATTGAGTTAACATGGGGATATACAACATTGACTTAACATGGAGATGTGCAACCTTGACTTAACATGAGGATATACAACATTGACTTAACATGGGGATATCATCATATCCCCAGTTATCATATTGGGATATCATGAAATCCTCATTATCTATCTGATTGATTGAGTCTCAACCAGTAACAAGCTATGTTATCGTGAATATGTATTATTTGGAATAGGAGTTCTGAAATCGAAGATTATACCCTAACTGGGGTCAACAGCATTCAATACATTAAAATTAACAAAACTATGTGTTTTGATAATATGAACTCAATGTATCTGTATTACTTTGGAAATCAACTACTGTAGCACAAGTAATTAATATAACATGTAAAAGTTAACAATCAAAATTATTCACTGCTTATTGACTAAATTTAAAATTACTTCATACAATCTGATCATGAGCCACATTTTCTTAACAATAGCAGATTACCCTGGCAATGCCTCGAAACATTATTAATTATCAATAATAGTATTTGTTCAAATGATAGCATTTGATGGATGCCGATGCTGATTGATGAGGAAATGTCACCATGACATGTGAAAGAAAAATTTATCAAATATTTCAAAGAAAAACCCAGAATGATACAATGGATTTTATCTCGATCTGATCATCTCCTTAACAATCATGCCAATAGTTGGCCCATAACTGCAGAATCAAATGAATGTGTACATTTAAATATATATATATCACTTGTAGTCCCAGCCCGGGCTTGTAGTTGTATACTGTCTGATGCCTAGGTGACATCCCGGGGGTCACATATGCTCCGATTCATCGGCCGGGTGCCCAGAAGATTGAGTATTCTGTCCAAAACTGATTACAATTTTGAACAAAATACTCAATCGATTGAGTATAATATAATTTTGATTTTCATCAATAAATATCTCTAAATATATCATATTATTCACTATACAGCATATTAGTGAAAACCTGAAAAATTAATACTGACGAGTGTTTTTCACACTGTTGGAAGGATATTTGGATATATAAACATGTATACCAGGCAGGTGATATAAAATTTATACACATATATAGTGGATTAATGCCAAAA